CTGAGTAACGGGTATCTGACAGTCGGAGAACTTGACTATAGCGTTTTCTTTTGTTTTACTTTCGGCTTCTGATGTTGTAGGGTATTGGTAGACCAGTTCGTCTACTTCTTTTTTATAGAGAGCCAGATAATTGCAGGAGAAAATGATTCAAGGATACTTCAGCAGCTATAGCTCCTGCTGATGTTATTGGTAATTCCATCTTTTGATAGTTTACAGTTCTTTTGGGTACACGAAATGTATCATATTATATATATATTATATTAATTATTATTATAATTTGTACTACTTATGCATTAGAAATCCTCATTCGAGATTTAACTAGTGTTGTTTACTTTATGTAGGTCTGTATTGCACTTTAAGTAGTTCACTCGCAAGGATATTTAGTTGTATCCTACCGACTGAGGCAGTTCATTTTATTTTATTTTATTTATTGTTATTTATTTATTTATTTATTTTATTGTTATTTATTTAAGCGGAGTTTTATTGGTAAGGTTCTTTTTAGTTAGATCCACATACCCAATGTGAAACTGATTTCATTGCATTATTCTTATAACTAACAACGGCGTGGGTAGGGAAAATTGGATTTGGTCAAAAGATTCCGATTGGTCTAATTAGTTGCCTGATTTTGATTGGTCTAATTAGTTGCCTGGTTTTTATCATGCCGATTGGGAATGTTTACAACTAGTGTGCGGTTTATTTTTAAATCGTATGGGCTTAATTGGCTCTGGACTTATGTTATTGACAAATGGAATAATAGTTATCTCCGAATATACGGGTTGTTGGCTGGGATTGGTGTCTTGGCTTATTGCGTACACGTCACCTATATATAATACAGTAGAATCCGGCTATAGCGACTTTCAAGGGACCGACGATTTTACGTCGTTATACCCAGAAGACGCACTAACAGAAAGGTGGAATAAAAATATTTTTTGTTTATTTTATGGTTGCCATGTTCTTAAAATGTTTTAACAAAAACATTGATTTTTTTTTGTTTTTTTTTAATTGTTTTAAATAATTACTGAAAATTATTGTAAATATTTTTCTGTATTTTTTTTTTGGCACGTCGCAAGGTCCTTTCATATAACTTTGTATGGGGACCAACCAAGCCATCGAGATTCCGTCGCAATAACCGGACGGACGCTATAAGCGGAGTCGTTTTAACCGGATTCTACTGTATTTCCTATAGATGTTCCAAGAAATGTCAACTGTTTTTATTTCAAAGAAAAAGCTTACAATTAAGCTTGGAGGCTATATCACACCTTTATGTCTTCAAGTAGAAAACCACCATGTATGTATGTACATGCATCCATTTTCAAACAGAGTAAATTTAATTGGAGTGCCGGTTGCTTGGTCGTCTGAAAAGAAACTATTCTTATAAAATGTAGGCCAATAAATAACTGAAAGAACAATATTGACATAAATTAGACACTAAAAAAGAGAGTCTATTAAAGTCTGAATAAGCAATTTTAAAGGCAATTTTTCAGGTAACTTTGCGTAGCTATTGTGCCAATCATATATGGGATACGAAGTGAAATTGCGAAATGAATTGGGCCATTCAATTGAACATCAACGTAAGTTTATTAATAACAACATTTTCAACAAAAACTCAATGCTTAGTTTTGGGAACCAAGCTCAAAAGTTAGAAATTGGGTGGCAGGTATGCATTGCCCGTGTGCGACCCGGCAGCGCCGCTGGAGATGATCTGGCCGGCTCCAGTGCCCACAGCTCCCACAACGGATCCGTTGTCGATGTGACCGTCGCTGCCGCCCAGCGCTCCAATCACGGAGGTGACGGGGGCCACTCCCTCGTCGGTCAGCTGGCTGCTGCCGCCCAGGGCATCGTACTGGGCTTGGATCTGCTGCTGGGCGTGGGCGGCCTCCTCGTTGGTCTTGTACTTGATGAAGAAGACCTCCGGCTTGCTGGTGGAGCTGGCCTGCTCCACAACCTCGGCGTTCAAGTCGCTGTCGCCCTTCTTGCTCAGCACATAGATGACGGTCTTGTCCTCGTTGGCGGCAGGGCTGATCTTGATGGTCTTTCTGTTGTTGCGCTGGGGCGACTTGATGAACACCACGTTGTAGTTACGCTTGGGCACGCCGACGGTGATGTGGCGTTCCTTGTAGTCCTCAGCCTCCTCCGGGGCGGAGTGGATGAAGAAGCGCTTGGAGACGATGGCCTGCTGCTGCTGCACATGCTGCTGCTGGTGGTGAGTCTGAACGGCCGGCTGCTGGTAGACGGCCTGCGGCTGCACGGGGGCCACCTGGACGCCGCTCTGGAAGAAGGAGCCTCCACCGGTGGTGCTGCTGATGCCGCCGAAGCCGGACGGGCCGGGATTGTAGTTGTAGCCCTGGGGGGCGGCTAGGGCCACGGAGCACAGGCACAGGACCTAATGAGCAAAAAGAAGGATTAGTCCGCCAAGCAATTAGTCCTTGGTCCGCCTTACAATGAATCCACGCATTTCTAGGCTTGGTTGAGCTGGTAGAGTGGGATAGGGAGTATTGAAGGTTTGACTTCCTTAGTAGTTGATAGTGAACTGTATGACTTCTGGCGCGCTCGAGCGGCTTTTATACATAGCTCGCAATTCCAGCTTCGACGCTACCACTCGACCACTCGAAAGTTAATAGGTGAAGTTCAACAAAATCCGCTGCAGAGCCCCGAAGAGTCATGGTCCGCATCTAAGCTGCCAAAAAGAGCTCGCAGCCTCCATTTGTTGCATGTTCATTGTATTTGTTTTAGCTCGCGTCGTCTTCTGCGCTTCAGCTCTTCTGCTCTTCTTCGCCATTCACCTTCGAGCCCCTTCCATCCCCCATTAAATGGCGAGACTTGCTTGTAGTTGCTGGCAATACATGGCCAATTAGCGTGGTTCCCCCTGCTGGGTCTTTGTTGTGGCACTTAATTGTTAGCCCCGATACTCCGGTCCACCGACACCCAGATGCGGTCATTACGGAGCGAGTCGATGCTTTTGGCGAGTGACCACCGCTGCCCAGTGCGTCGATTAAGTGATATTAAAAGTTTACTTGCACAAGCGCTTAGTAAATATTAGTCCGGCTCGGGGCTTGTAGCCGTAGTGCTCCCCGCGTCGAGTAATCGTAATCCCTAGCGTGGGTCCTAGCTCCGGAGAAGCTATCTAAGGAACTTCCTCAGCTCCACTCCGAGCCACTGATGCGCGTTGTCAGGCTTAATTAATGGCCCGCAGAGCGTAATACTTGTAATACTTGTCCGGTCTTTCAAACTCATCGTTTCTTCATCGGCTGCAGCGAAATTCATTTATCTTGTCTGGCGGTCAGCCCCAACTTTCTTGGGAATAAATACCCCTTTGATTATTACTTCAAAGCGTTTTGTTCACATTTCTGCAGTGATTTCTATGCCTTCCCCGTGTGAAGGCGGGGAACCATTGCCGTTGGTGTAATGAACTCAGCCAACTGCCCCACAGACCCTCAGTTTTTGAGGGACCCTAATGATCGTATCATGTTCAGTCTTCATTTACGCATCTTAGCTGAAGCCAAAATCGATTACGAAGTCGGTCTGGTGAAAAATCTTTGTACTTTAACCGCTGAACACAGCAGACTCTTGCGAAAATCGTAGACGTGTAACTCAGCCTCTGAGCAAATAATGTTTTTGGAAGAGAATATTTTTCCAATTTCGCTAAGTTATGCATGCATAAATAATATACATAGTGACAGGTACGGCTTAAATTGTACATAATTTCTAATAATAATTTCTAATTCAAAATTTCACACTTGGTCCCAAAATCTTCCAACAGATGGCTTCGAACAGGACTACGTATTCATTTTAAAATTGGCAAACGCAATTATAACTCAACAGGAAATACTTTTATGTTTAGGGAACACTTTACCTGGATTGTGGCTGTTCATACCGATTACTAATATAGTAAAAGTTATTTATATATCCGTCTGTATGAACGACGCTATCTCGGAACTATAAGAGCCAGAACGTTTAGATAAGCCTGCGGATTGAATACGTCTCTTCAATGTTTGCCAAAAGCTTTCACTTTTGAAAATATTTTATGTCTTTCCTTTTATTATTTGGATGCCAATTTCTAATAATATACCAAGAACATTTTGCCCACTCACACACTCGCCAAATGATTTTCTTTCATTTTAACATTTTGAAAAGTTTCTATCTATCCACGCCAAATCTAACACCCACAAACCGCTTGAAAGTTCAGCGCAACTCAGCGCATTTCTCTTTTCTAACAGCAGTGGATCGGTGTCGTCGACTACAAAGTTGTATCTTCAGGTTACTTTGTGTAGCTATTGTGCCAATCGCATTGGTGGCATAACTTACAGAGCTAATATTAGACACGAAGTGAAATTGCGAAATGAAGTGGGCCATTAAGAATACTGAAAATTAATTTCAACATCGTAACGGGTATCCAATAGAACATCTACCATCGCGGTTTTTCCTGATTTTGTATATTAGTAGAGTAAAAGAGTTTTTTAGGTTCTTTGAAAAAAAATAGAACAGGAAGAATCATTCATGATTCATGATCAGTATCGATAGCGGAGTCGATCTGGCCAGGTCCTTGTGTCCGTCTGTCCATCCATATGAAAGTTTCGAACTCAGGAACTATGAAAGCTAGAAAGTTGGGATTAAACATGCAGATTCCAGAGACATAGAAGTAGCGCAGTCACCACGCCCATTCAAAGCCCTCAGAACGCCCAAGAGTGCCATTTAATTTCCTCATTTGACTTTCCTATATTTATAGATATGCTAAAAACATTTTGGCCACGCCCATTCTAGCGCACAAAGAGCCCAAAACTGCTACGCCCACTCTTTTGAAAAACCGCCCAAGAGTGTCATTAAATTTCCTCATTTTTCTTTCCAATATTTATAGATATGCCAAAAACATTTTGGCCACGCCCGTTCGAATGCACAAAGAGCCCAAAACTGCTACGCCCACTCTTTTGAAAAACCAAACGGATTCTTCCTACACATCCACTACACAAATTTTATAATTTGAGCTATTTTTACTTATTTAAGAGTTTTCCCCGTCCACAGTCGTAGTTGAATACAATGTCACCTTACTCGATCTTCCAAATCTAATGTAATGGACAATAATCCGACGACACCTGCCTTGCTGGCGCAGAGCTCCTCGATAAACGTATTCCACGACGAATCAATCCTACCGCAGCGTAATGTAAAAACAAGTAAATCCGCCTGTTATAGTTATAATTTATTATTGCGAGTGACTACAATACTTTGCGAGTTCACAGGTGAAAATGTTCCACCGACGTTGGCAGAGAAAACGTTGTTTGTGCTGTCCATGATTCTGATAGTCCTCTTCCTGCCGTGGTCCCTATTCATCTGCCTGAGGGTAATGTCGGAGTATGAGCGAGCGGTGATCCTACGCCTGGGTCGACTGCGTCCCAAGCCACCGAGTGGGCCGGGCCTCATCTTTCTCGTGCCTTGCATTGACGACCTCGCTATTGTGGACATACGCACCAGGTCGTTCGATCTGCATAGACAGGAAATCCTCACCCGCGACATGGTGACGATCAGCATAGACGGAGTGGTGTACTACAGCATCAAGAGCCCCTTCGACGCTATGCTGCAGGTTTCCGATGCTGAGGAGGCAACCGAAAAGCTAGCAATGACAACGCTGCGAAACGTGGCCGGCACCCACAAACTAATGGATTTGCTCTCGTCCAAGGAGTACCTCTCCAACCAAATAGAGGGTATCTTGTACAACTCCACAGAGCCCTGGGGCATTCGCGTGGAACGGGTGGAGATGTAAGTATTCCCTTCTGTGCAATGGATCAATAGTGAACAGTAGATGACAGGCTACATATTTCCGGCAGCAAGGAGATCTTCATGCCCGACCAACTGAAGCGTGCTCTGGCTGTGGAACAGGAGGCGATGCGGGAGGCCAAGGCCAAGGTGGCCGCGGCGCAGGGAGAGCGGGATGCGGTAACTGCGCTGAAAGAGGCTGCCGACATCATGGAGACCAACCCCATTGCCCTGCAGCTGCGGTACCTGCAAACACTGAACTCCATCTGCAATGATAACACCAGGTCCTACGTATTCCCTTTTCCTGTAGACATTGTGCGGAAAATGATGAAGTAGGGTTTCTCAAAAAATTTCTCCAAACGCGTTCCGTTTTTATGTGGATTCCATTTAAAGGAACTTCGCTATTTCATTGTATATTATATTATATTTAGTATTATTCATCTGAAGGAGACCAAATACGGTACATTTCCTATGGCCACGTTTCATTAGCACAGACGTTCAATTAATATTTTCCGAAAATTTTCAAGCAGATGAAGGGGAATATCCTTTAACCTCTCTAGTTTTGCGCTCTACAAAATACAGTTCCCGAGGCGTGCTGAATGTAGAAATTTCAAATGCTGTATGGAATTCGACTTATGCGAAGTCTATTGTACTGATACACTGCTTTTTACGAAAGTTTTAGAAAAGATTTAATTTGCTATGTGACGAGACTGTCATTAGATTAATATCTACGCCGTAGAAACTCTCTATTTCATGTTTATACATTTAAATTAAATGTAGATCAAATAATCTGCAATCTTTTTCCCTGGCTTTGCTTCGTTCATTTTGAGCTCTCGTAAGCTTTTGTCCAAGAAAGCTATCTCATCAGATGTTCGAGCCAACTTTCAGAGAAATACTTTGACGAGTTTAATTTGAGCTTTTGGTGGTGCATCTTTGTAAGTTTTACTTATTAAGTATAACTTATTAATATACTAATAACTCATATCTCTGGAACTTAATTTTAATAGTAGCACCTTCAATGTAAAAACGACAAAAAACGGCAAGATATTGCGGTTGAAAAAGAAATAAAGAAATATTAAAATTTAAAACAAGAGGAAATGTTTTAGTCGTCATTCAGTTTTTTTTTTAATATTTTGGCAAATCAATGGAAATTTACATAACTAATAAATAGATAACAAAAATATCAAAACATTTTTCAAAAGTTTTTCGCGGTTTGTGGGCGTTATAGTGGGCGTCGCAACAAAACTTGCGCTGGGTCTATGTTTTTGGAAGCTGCATTGTAGCTTTTGTAGTTCCTGAGATCGTATGGACAGACGGACAGACGGACATGGCCAGTTCGACCTGTCTAGGGATCTTGAGCAGGAATATATGTTTTTACATATATGGTCGGAAACGCTTCCCTCTGCCCGTTACATGCTTTTCAACGAATCTAGTATACACTTTTACTCTACGAGTAACGGGAATAACTAATAATATGTAACAAGTGTACAAATAATTCAAAGTAATTTTACCTGCGACTAGAGAAAACCTCACCACTGAATGTCCAATATTAAGTAATCCGCAATCATTTTCTGCGGATGACCTCTGCTAACCTATTATTGATTGGCTTCGGTATTTCAATATTTTAATTATTTAATCCAATACTAATGGAGGCGCCATAAGCCTTGGCCATGTTAATAGCCAACACACGAAACGTCATGAAATAAAAATTAATGAAACTTGAAATATGAACAGGGAAGAGCTGTAAACGAAGTACATTGCTGCGGCGAACTTAAAGAGTGTGCCAAAAAACCACGGACTCAGTGTTACCATTGCGTAACTCCATGGGCCAAGACGCTCTTATCTTTTGTCCGCAAGATTATGTTGGAGAAAAGCGTCAGGAGTTGCTGATGCCAACAATTTGCTGATTGTTACGCCCCCGCTGCTCGTGTGAACGGGTGGCTTGCATAATATGTCGGCCATAAGTGTGATGCCGCAGTCTATGCGTACTCGTAACGGATCGGGGAAGAAACGCATGCTACTCGGTAATTTGGAGGGATTGTGCTTCAGCTTGGCCTCCGCACTGCCATTTGTGTTTTGATAAATCCCCAGTCATATATCAAATCGTCAGCACCACTCACCAAGGCAATCAGCGCTCCAAAATTTGGACCACGTCTATGGTTGGCACGGAAATTGCTTTGAATTTGCTTTGTAAAATTTCTTCGCCCATATTATAGTACAGAATTGACATATTATATTTCAGATTAAATTGTGCAACCACGGACCAATTACAACTTTAGTACCGACCAATGATCGGACAACTTAATAAGTGGGTCATCGGAAACCAAAGCAATTTTTGAAATTCATAGGGACTGAAAAAGCGAAAGCTTTCCAGGTAGACGATATTTAAAATGAGGCTATTGTGTGATTAATGCAAGTTGCGATTCGAGATTTTGCCTTGCAAAGGTTCGTCAATTATGACCGGCCATCAAATGACCGGCCACAAATATCCACCATCATGATCACGACGAAAGCTAGAGAAATGGATGTGCCAACTTAATCTCCACATTTGTATGTGTCCATCACACATGACTTCCAGCTAGACAACTCTTTCGACTTGGACCCAAGTTTAAGCTCGAGAGCTTTAGGGTCTTGGGTGAGTTCCCAAAAAGTTACCGCTATCTCAAGGTTGTATGAAAACGCAAGCGAGTTTTCGTGCGGCTCGAGCGCTTGTGGTTTCAGTTTCAGTTTCATTTGAACTTTTTGTTTCGGACACATCTGCTTCGTAGCGACATTTTCGAGTCAGCGGCATAAAAGTCTGGGCGTCTAGTGATTAGCATTTAGTTGAATTTTGATTGTCAAGGGAACGGTGTCTTCAACTGAATCGGAAATGCACTTCTTCATTGTAAGCCCTCTTCTAATGCCCGCCGAGATGTCAAAGCACCTAATAGTACTGACTTCCATTCCAGGTGCCGTGCCTCCTAGGCCTTGCAGCCGCCATTCCTCAAGGATACAACTACCAGGCCCAGCAACAGCTTCAATCGCCGGCGCAGTCGCAGTTTGCCACATTTGCGGAGCAGACGATCCTGCAGCAGGCGCTCCAGGCTCCGAAGGTGCAGCAGGTCCTGAACGCAGGAAATGTGGACGCGTCTTACTCCCAGCAACGCCAAGCACCTGTTTACCAACAGCAAGCGACGCAGTTCGGCGCGAATTTGGCGTACAATGTGCCCCAAGCACAGCAGCCTCAGCTGCAGCAGCAGCTCGTCTCCAAAGACATCTACGTCCATGTGCCACCAGCAGAAGAGCCCGAAGATCGCTATCCCCAGCCTGTTCTTCCGCCAGCGCCCCCGCGCAAGCATTATCGCATCGTGTTCATCAAGGCGCCGACGTCCAGTGTCCCGAAGGCGGCGTTGCGCATCCAGCAGGCTCCCGTGGAGGAGAAGACCATCATCTACGTGTTGACCAAGAAGCCGGACCCACTTGACCTCCAGACCGCCATCGAGGAAATCGCTCCTAAGCAGCCCAGCAAACCAGAGGTCTTCTTCATCAAGTACAAGACCCAGGAGGAAGCTGCGCATGCGCAACGCACCATTCAAGGTGAGCAACACCCGCATCCATCAGATGCTGTGAGACACTCTCGAAGATCTCATCAGTATGCAACAGACCTTAAATGCTTTGTTTTGCAAGCTCATAGAAATGTCTATCGTGGGTTTTATTCATAACCAATTAGCGATTTACTTACAACGTTCTGGTCTTCGTTTAGCTCAATATGATCAGCTTGGCGGCACATCGCAGGTTTCCGACGAGGGAGTCGCGCCCGTTACATCCGTGATTGGAGTCCTGGACAACCAGCGCAACAGCGGAGTTTCATCCGGACAGTTTTCGAGCTCCTTGGCAAACAGTTACTTGCCAGCCAATCTGCGTGCTTAGTTGTCACTGCAAGACAAAGGAACTGTAGTATTTTTAAGACTTCAACTCTTGTATATTTTCATATTTAGTTAAATAAAGTTCATATTTTGAACTCCTTATGATAGAAAGCGACTCTGCAGCCATATCCAAATAAAAAAGATTGGAGCACGATGAAACCGAGTTTCGATACTTCACAGTAACCAAATAGTTTTCTATAGCCCATGTTACCACATCCATTAGTCCAATGACAGCCAAGCCAAGCCGGAAACCGGTCGCATAAATTAGCATATAATTTGTCTTACATAACAACGATTAGGCCACACGAAAACTTGATCATTAGGGCTGCTGGCTAATGCATATGGAGATGGACCAATCTCTCTTGCAAGAAAAAAGTCATGCTCTTTGCTAATGCCCATTGATACTTTATTTATTAAAAACTAACCGCGTTTAATTTCCCCTACCTCAGAGTTCATCTCTCCAAAACTGAGATGTCTGAAATTTGAAAACGAGTACTCGGAACACTAGGATATTTGGGATTCGATTAAAATCTTTTATATTTCTTTCGAGTTTCGCATTAAAAGAATAAATTAAAATGGATATAAAACAATGGAAGCGATAGGAATTGTACATAATGGAACATAAACTTATTTAAAAGTCTTTGCCGGCACGTACTTCCTAGATGGCAGCGAGGGAGCAAAAGAGGCGGTGGACTGCTGCACAAAGGAGCTTTGTTGCTGGACCCCCGGGTTAAGGGACTGCAGCTGAACAATGGGCTGACCCTGGGGCTGGATGATGGTTTGGCCAGCCTGGGAGAGCTGGGGCGCAAAGCTGCCCAGGTTGAGGGAGCCATTCGAGACGCTGGCAATGGGGGCCACTCCCTCGTCCGAAATGTGAGTGGCGCCTCCGAGGGCGTCGTACTGGGCCTGGATCTCCTGCTGAGCGCGCTGGGCCTCTTCCTGGGTCTTGTACTTAATGAAGTAGACCTCGGGCTTTTGAACCTTGGACTCAGACTGGGTGACCTGCAGCTGCTGCTGGATCTCGGTGAGATCGGGTTTCTTGGAGAGCACGTAGATGACGGTCTTCTCCTCGTTGCTTGACTGAGCCCGCTTCAGGGCCGCGGCGGTGTACTTCAGATTCTGGGTTGGAGCCTTTATGAAGACGATCCGGTAGTTCTTGCGAATGGGCACATTCTCCAGCTGTGGCTCGTCCTGCCGCAGCTCCTCATTCTCATCGGGGGCGGAGTGGATGTAAATGTCCTTGGTGACGATAGCCGGGCGCTGGACGAACTGGGTCTGAAGGACTTGCTGCGGCTGCGGCTGCTGCTGATACACGATTTGCTGAGGCTGCTGCTGCACAGTGCTGATCAGGTTTGGTTGGGGCGGAGCAACAAGAAAGGGCTGCCTTGGCAGAGATAGCGGCAAAGGAGCGGGAGCAGGAGCAGGAGCGGCAGCGATGGTCTGCACGGATTGAATGACTGGCTGCTGAGCCTGGGCACCGATCGCCGCCTGAACACCGAGCTGAGTGAGAGAGGAGACGGTGCCACCTGAGTATATTCCACTTGGTGAAATAGGTGTCTGAGGACGGAGATTGCCAATGGGAAGGGATGGTAGCTGCGGTTGGTACTTGTATCCCTGGGGAGCTGCCGCCGTGAGGGCCACCATGCACTGCAAGACCATATTAAGTGTTAGCTGTTGCTTGTGATCCCACACATGTGCCAGTTTCTTACCATTAGAACGACGAACTGCTTCATTTTTACTTTGAACTGTCTGAGCTGCTGGGGTCGACTGATGCTCTGCCTGCCCAATGTCAATGTTTTATATCTGTCCAGCATAGCATCGTTTTCCCAAAGAAAGAAAAAATTATTAGGCACTACCATAAAACGTTTGAATCTATTATTGACTTCACAACCTCGAATGTGTACCGTATCACATTGGGCGGTTGCCAAATCACAGATCCGTATGCGCAGATGCACTGGTTGAAAAGTCCGGGATCTTATCTAACTTGGCGACCAACGTTGCGTTGAAATTTAAATAATCGTTTGATATCCCCATTGTCAACGCCGCATATTAATAGGTGAAGCGGTTCGGTTGACAAAACTGGGATATTATAAAGAAAGTAAGTTTTATGGACGGAAACCCATATACATTCATGTCCAAAATTGTGGGAAACGATCTGCATTAAATATTCGTTTTAAAATTCGCTTGGCGCCCTGCACGCTTGTGGACGATAGACTGTGGGAGTTTAATACATTCGAAAAACAAAACTGAAATATTATAGTAAATTGTGGTCTTGCCAGTTTTTTCGTCGAGGCGATGTTTTAAATCTAACTTTCGCTGCTTAGGTGTCACTAGAAATTGCAAGCCTATCGCCAACTTCCAACCCACAATAGTTCTCACTTTTGAGAAAACAACAAAAAATTAATTTTTATTTGACTACGTAATTGCGCTATCTAAAACAAAAGTCGAGTACCACGACTATCAGATACCCGTTACTCAGCTAGTGGGAGTTAAGGAGCATAGGAATTGGCAACCAGAATAATAAAATGGGGAAAAATTATACAAATTTTCAAAAGTGCTGGAGTGACAGGTTTTGGGCGGGTTGTGGGCATTTCAAAAAAAGTTTTTCTATACCGATAGGAATTGGCAAAAAGAATATTAAAATGAGCAAAAATCAAAACTATTTTCAAAAGAATGGACGCGACACCCTTCGGACGGTTTATGGCCGTTAGTGGAATCTTAACTTAGTCTCAACTTTCTAAACTTTAATCGATCATATAATACGAACAGACGGACATGACCAGATCGACTCGGCTACTGATCTCAAGGGTATACGAGCATGGAATAGAATATTATAGGGTCGGAAAGGCTTCCTTCTACCTTTAATATATTTTCAAAACTAATCTAGAATATATTTTTACTCTACGAGCAACGGTTATAACTAATGTATTTATTTACCATATTTGCACTTTTGGCATATTTATATCTTTTCGTGCCGAAAGGTTCACAAGTAGTAGGCACATAAAATGTATTTCTATACATATCTGTTTTCCGGGGCTTTCCAAAAGTCATTGAACCAATAATTCTTAAATCAAGCTGTTTAGCACAACATATTATTATGGAACATAGAAGATTTGAACTTTTTAATGTTTAATTTTAATGCTAAAACTAATACTTTTGTTGAAGAGTTGGCAAGTAAGCGCTTTTCCACGGTGCGCTTGGTTTGCGGAAGACCGCACTCCTGTCAAAAGTTACGGATTGACTGCTTTGTCTTCTTACTAGAACAGTGCGGGTGATTTTATCCTGAAGACCAACTTGCGGGTGGCAGGCTAGGTAGATTTGTTGTGTGGATAGTTCCGGTATTCCTTTGGGTTATTATGGGTTTCTTTGGGTTTGGCTTCTATACGTTACTGGTGCAGTGAATTTTCTGATGCAAGCAATCATTTGTTATTTGGAGAATATATAAATCTATCCAAGTTAGCGAGTCGTATGCCTATTTTATTTTTTTACTATAGATAACTAGTCTCACACCGACCCTCTCTTGGCGGGACTATCCCAACACCGAAATGCAAATTATTTCAAAATTTTTCAAAAAATTTCCTGTTCCAATTTTGTATTAAACAACTTAAATTTATATGTTAAATAATTCAATTCAACAAATTAGTCCAGCAAGGGTGTCTGTGCAAATCACAGAGCAGACAAGTAAGAAATAACGTTAAAATTTAATTAAAAATAGCTTAGTGCGTTTGTATAAGTTTTAGATATTTTGCAAAGTATACAAGTGCCACATTAAATTATCGTCCTTTTGTTATTGCTTCTGATACAAATTATATAATTTTCTAAATCGAATCTTTTAAGAGGCTGTAATATTAATTGTAGAAAGGAAATTTTATTTTGGCCCCAAGCTTATGTAATCGACAAAAAAGAATTTCGACACTTAAAGTATTTGTAATTTTATTTGTACTTTTGTTTCTTAAGGAAACTTTCCCATTATTTTATTTTCCTTTTTTCATTTTTCCACTGCCTTTCACTCGATACGAACACACAGCAGATGTTTATATTTTATACATGGTGGTGCACTTCGACACTAGCTGAACTGCCATCCCCAGTGATATTGCTGGTATGCAAGTTTCGGAAGATAACCTATTTTTAAGCTCCTCGAAAAATTTAAAAAACTATATTCTCATAAAAGTCCTAACGCTTCTATGGGTGTACTTTCCGTTTATTCAAATATATTTATGAAGTAAGCTGAAGCTATGAGTTTTACCTTAGTGATCAGCGATAGGAATACTTTTAAAATTGGAAATTATGATTTAAGTATTACGACAAATGGATTTTGCATTTGAATTTTTTTACTGATTGGAACTTGAGACTACAGCTTATCAGCAAAAAGAACAACATTCGCGCTTTTGTTTTAAAAAAAAAAAACCCATTTGCGCAACAACTTTTAAATCAATATACATACATATGTAAGTAAAGCAATCGTATACACAAAGATAAAAGCAGTCCGGCGACAATATTACCGAAAAACGAGCTCTTTTTGGTAGGTGTCAGCAGAAGCTTACTGTTTTTGATACAATAACTTTAAAGCTTGTTTTGCATCCAACAAAGCATACAGTAAACTGTACAGGAGACGAGCCAATCGATTTTTGAACAAAAACAAAACATTCACAGAATTTAGAAGAAATATTCGTATCATATTAATTGTAAGTTAACATTTTATAATTTATTTTAAAAATATTTCCTATGACATTGTCTTATATCATTGGCTGCTTAGAATGATCACTGTATATATATGTACAAAATATATATGTATGTATTTCAAGTTCATCAAAGCAAATTATCACAATGTCACACGCAGCGAAAATACATGTTTCAACATTTATTGTCACATTATATTAAACACTTTGTGTGGATCCCAGCAGGTTTTTAATTATGTGAACATGTTATACACGTAAAAAATATATATATGTTATACAAAAAATATATTTGCTAATAATTTGTAATTAGCTTAAAAGTTTTCATTGGATCTAATATAAAAATTACAATAAAACGTTTTTATACGTGGCACAAATTGGTTTCCAAAAATATTTGTCGTGCTTTCCCACGCTGATTTCTGTAAGTGTGTTAATGATTTAAGTTATGTATAAAAGATATGTCTGCAAAGGCGCGAGGCTTAGTCCGATTTTGGGTTTCCGATAGAATGAAGACACTCTGCGTAAGTGTGACAATTTGTAAACAGAACTGATAGTAACGCTATTCACACAGTTGTTAATCCTGTTCGTCCTGGTGGCCGTGGCTCTATCAGCTCCCGCTGCCTCCCCGGACAATACTCCTACGGTATCCGTGCTGCGCTACAAAGAAACATTTGGAAAACATTCAGCGGGCCATTATTGCGCAGTACGAAAGAATTGGCGGCACCACAATAGTTCATCAGCCACTGACGGCCAATATCGTCAACCCAGCAGTCCAAGGATTTAATACTTAATGCTCTCCGAAAATAAATCGTTTATATTTGTGATTTGTAAGCCCCGCTGATAAGACAGAGCGTCTTGCGTTTTTGGATTAACCGATCCGCAGAAGCGCTTTAGTCTGCTTCCGACACTCGGCGGTTTCGCAGAGCCTCCAAGATGCTTCGCAATCTGTCCGCGTGTCTTATATCGTTTTTTGGGCTCTGGTGCCTGACCCACACTCACTCCCAGCGTCTGCCCCTAGAAGGCGATACGATCCGCTCTCCCGTCGACCGCGACATAGTCTTTCCGAAGCTGGACGCAGGACCAGGCCAACCCCAGGAGAAGATGTGGTTTCGCATAGCCGACTTTCAGTTTGATCGGGAGGAGATCCTGACCAATCCCAAGCCCAGGCGCCACCCCCCGCCTCCAGGGCCTGGCCAGCCCTTCCCGCCGCCCCCCGGGGGCTTTAAAAAGAAAAAGAAGAACAGTCAACGCCGCCTCTGCGAGCAGAGTAAGTGATTCGAGTCTTTGGCCTGTGGGTTCGTGAGTTATTGACCAAGCTTGTCACCAAGAATATTCCGAATACGTGGAACGCATCTTTCCCAATGATACCGCGGTGGCTGCCGATGCCAACGACGCAGATTTCGATGGTCGGATCCTGGCCAGGCCCGGTGAATACCCACACATGGTACGAACTCGCTAGCTGCTAAGCGTCTACTGAGCACCTAACTCAAGGCCATTGATCTGTTTTCGCAGGCTGCCGTGGGCTTCGAGTCGGAGAGAGGGCGAGTCGACTACAAGTGTGGCGGCAGCTTGATAAGCGAGAGATTCGTGCTTACCGCCGCCCACTGCACCTTCATATACGAGTGAGCATGCCAGTTAGACCACTGACCCCCAGTACCGTGACTGTACTTTTCCTCCCAGGAAGGCCCCCAAGTGGGTGCGCATCGGGGTCCTCAACCTGGTCACCGAGAGGCGGTCGGCGGAGGCCCAACTGCTTCGAATTCAGAAAGTGCTCGCACACCCCAATTACAACAAAGAGATGTACTATGACGACATAGCCTTACTTAAGCTGGAGAACGAAGTGGAGTGAGTACCCAACCAGACAGTAGGCGACCGCTAAGTTTGCTAACACGATTCTCTAAGACTGACGGAATTCGTCAGACCCATCCGCCTGTGGGTTTACCCAGAGCTGCCCACGACGATAGCCTTCGCAATGGGGTACGGCGCCACTAGCTTCGCCAAGGCCATGACGAACCGGCTCACAAATCTTAACCTGACCATAGTGCCGAACGACGAGTGCAACGCCGAGCTGCCGTCTCTGGCTGAGACTCCCAATGGAGTTCTGGAAAGCCAGATCTGCGCCCAGGACTATATTCTCAACAGAGACACCTGCCAGGGCGACTCGGGCGGACCCCTGCAACTGAATTTGCCGGGTCGCCGCCGGCGGCATAGAATACACTATCACCTGATCGGCATTACCTCATACGGCGTGTTCTGTCGCAGTAGTTACCCATCAGTTTACACCAGAGTGACTTCCTACTTGGACTGGATCGAACTAACTGTGTGGACCTGACAGATGCCCACATGGGAATCGTATGCTTTCAGTAATATGTTTACTTTCATTAGATATCCACTTTTCGACACTTCCCATAACAACGGACATGGCCCGTTCAACTAAACAAGAATCTACATATTTAATTGGTTCGTTAGCCTTCGAGTAGCAGGAATAAAAACTGAAGAGATCGAATTTTCCTTTAACAGAAATTTTTTTATTTGTTGGTAAAAATATTTTTATGTACTTATCAAATATATTTTCCAGAAGTGCAATAACAGAGGGAATTCCGATTTTGTGTATATCTGATTCCTTATGATCAAAAACAAAAACAAACTTTGATTTCCTAATATTTTCAAATAGTTTTCCGATGCTGATATTATATATTCTCAAAAGAATTTTATATTCCGAATAAGAAAAAAAAAACGTACATTTCTTTCCATTTATATTTCGATTATTCGTATGGCACCAATCCGCCCCTAGAATTATTACTTTCACATTAGGAATTAAATATATGGTTATATACATTTTGCTAAATAGTAGGTATGGCTTTGGTATGGCCTAGTGATTTTCAACAATAAATTATACTAAACGGTGACTATATTGAAAAGGTCGTCATTTATTTTTAAGTTACATTAGACATAGACATTTAAAACGGCAAAAACAAACAGATTTTTTGTCAATTCTGCTGAGAATTGAACCATTGGTTTTAGACTTCATTGTTGGCATCAATAATGAGTTGCTTCATGTCTTCATAGCTGGGCTGGTTCTGCAAGTCCAAGACAAGAGTGTAAAAATTCTTAGAAATTGTATAAATCTTTTACGTAGCAACTTTACATTAAAAAGCATAGTCATTTATTAATAAGCAACTTACGAATCGCATGCGCTATAGCTGTTAGTGTGATTAATGAGTTGGCAGAGATGAGATTTAAATTCAGAAATGGCCGAAAATGCTGCTAAACGAATGCAAGCTATAGGCCTATTTTGGATCACGTACCTGCCAGTAGTTATCGTCCCAGTTGGGAAACATGCGTTTAAAAACCCTTGGTTCCTTTCCCTGGGGGACGCGGATGATGTTCACCGTGTCGAAGGAGCGAGCGGTGGGCTCCAAGCGAATGTAAAGCTGTAAACCAAGAATTAAGTTATAAAAGCTTTGAAAAGTAAAGGTGTGTATTAAGAAAACCTTTGCCATGTCCAGAAGCTTGGAATTTTCCTCCTCAGATGCGCCAGAGCCAACCCAAAGGTAGATCTCGTCTCCAGCATCCAGTAGCATGATGTCTTCGGAGTCCAAATCCTCTTGCTCGTATTGAGCAACTTCCTCAACCTTCAAAAGTCCACCATGCCTCAAATAACAGTGGAACAGGCGTGACTCCAGCAGTGGAGCTCCAAGGTCACCTAAGCTGCGGTCGTACTGGCCTTCGCCGTTTAATTCCTCCCAGAACTCATCTGGCTCGGCACCCTCCTCCACCTGCTCGAGCTCAACGTCATCCCAGTAGTCAGAAAAGCGATCCATGGCTGCTTGTTTTTCGAAGCTAGATGCGCCCAAGCCATTCCAAATATAGATTTTGTGGGACTTTCCGGATAGAAGGGCGAAAGCATCACTTGAGGCCAAGGATGAGCTGTCGGCGGCCACTTCACTAGCATGAATATCGCTTTCGACAGTGCCGCGAATGCGGAAGAGCTGCGACGTCACCGGAAGTGCAGTGAAGGATGTCAATAACTTTCCCTTAAATATCTTGTAGAAGTGGCGCGGCTCATGGCCCTGATTGGTCTGCACCAAAAGACCTTCCTTGGCACCTACTAGACTCTCCTCGAAGGCACGTTCCTTGGCGGCGACAGAGGCGTTTACTCCATGCCACACATAGGTCAGGGAACCAGTGTCCCCGTTCTTAGCCTCGTATTTGTAGGTGAGCACATAAGAGGCAAATCCCAAAAGAGGTAGTTTCTCCTCGAAGGGAATGGTGCTGATCACGATTTCATCGGAATCAGGCTTTGCAACGTACTGTGTAATGGTTTCAACGCTGTTCTGACCGTTATCCGGCATAAACCCAATGGAACGACCGCCGCTCTTCTTTAACTGAGTCACCACAGAGTCGACTTCATCCTCATTTAACAATTCATCAGAGCCGATGCCCAGAGCCGAACGAATAAGTCGACTATGGGCCATTCCGGCATCACGCCAGGTGTCAAAGTACTGCTTAAATGGTGCGGACTCAGCGCCTTCTACAATGCGATGGATTTGGGTCCAGGCCGGGTACTTCTTGGTGCGTAGGAACTCCTGCGCCTTGGCCATGGCGTTCGTCTTCTCATTCTGATTGGCGCCCTTTCCAACCCACACAAAAATGCCAGATCCTGTGTCCAAGATAAAGCAATCGCGAGTGTCGAGCATAGCCTGAGTCAGTGGTTTTTGTCCAATGGTGTCCACCTTCAGCTTGCTTACGGCGTCGCTGACCTTGTAGAGAGTAACCGCTGCGGCATCCGTCCTCTCGAACGCACCATCTTCGTCGGCAGTTGACTCCTCCGGCACCTGGTCAGGGGAACCCGATCCTAGCACGTCGAAAAAGAGCTGCTTGTCTACAGCAGTGCTGAAGTCGTCGACGATCTGAACACGAGCTCGTCCGTTATGATCCTGGTCCCTGATCTGGTTCGCAGCGCTGATAGCCTTAAGCTTCTCAACGCGCTTCGCCTGGGAGCCTACATAGACATATATATCGCTGCCGGCATCCAAGATGAAGCAGTCGCCCTTGTTCATCGACGACACGGAAAGATTCACCTGTCGGACGCGCACGTTACGCTTGCCCTTGACCTGGAACAGTCGCTTCTCTCCCTTGGCGTTTGTCTCTACGTGGTTGAAGCCAGTTCCGACGCCGCCCTGTTCATAGCGAATGCCTACAATGATGATTAGTGTAAAGAGACGTCCAGATTGGTTTGACTTGTTCTACCGTTTTTGAAGTATCCCAGAAACAGCTGGGACTCGTGGTCCTGCACCTCGCGATGTTGAATAGGACCGCCATTCAGCAAGTCATCTAACTGGACGGTGAGAATAGCTGCAGCTCCAGCCTCATCCGTTGAGGTCTCCGATCCCAGCCAGAAGTGCACATCCCAGGACAGTTTCTTGTCTTTTTTGTTTTCAATTGTCTAAATGAAGATAAGGATTCGATGTTAAAAAAGTTACGTATGGCACAGATGCCTTTACTCATATATGTACGTATGGGCTTAGTTTCTTCCACATGACTTTAATGGGGCTAAAAACTTCAATTTCTTCTTTAAAAAGTAAATACTGAAGATATAGTAATGGGGAATTTCCAAGAATAATTCTAGTTGGATTATTTCATAGGTGTGCGTTAAATTAAAACTTCTACAGTTCCAATGCATACTTACATTAAGAACAATAAACGAGTCCCCAGTGTAAAATTTGCCATAATTATTTTTGGGGTACGCAACGGGCTCAAAATTCTGAAAAGAGAAAAAAATACTTATACGTGATTTCCATTAAAGATAATTGCGAAAAACGACTGGCTGCTTGGTCTAAACTTTTATTTTGGGCATCGCCTGATTGTACACAAACATATCGCATTTTGAACCTAATAAATTTGCCGGGTGTTCGAGTTAATTAGCAAGAGGGAACCGACGTACGATGTATATAAACAATTTACATTTATCTTCTCCGGAAAAAACAATATGTATATTTATAAAATATCGGACGATCTCGAGCTGCGAACCAACAGATGTTAGCAAGCGCCAGCTATTTATACCATTTCCGAACACGGGCAGGGAATAATTGAATCCCAAAATATGACTCACCTCGATGCGCCAGATTTCTAGGCCCGGAGAACGGCCGGCGTTGGCGAAGGAGGGATGCATCACGCGTCTGGCTGGCTGCTTGCTGTTCTGGCCGCTGGGCTGAATTTGGCCGGTTGGCACGGGAAACGCGGGACGGGCGTTGAGGGTGCCGGCTGAGCAAGGACTGGACGAGAGGGCTAAAAACACAAGCAGGCTGAAAGGCACAAGCAGATAGCTATTATGGCAGCCAATTGATTGCACGCAACTTGTTGTCGTTGGACATGACTGCAGATAACACAATTAATCTTAAGATATATATATTTTTTCTTTTTATTGATTTCAGCCAGAAGTTCGCAAGGCAGTAAAGGACACATCTTGGTCACCTTTATAGCTTTTTTATTATATTATACCTTTGTTGTTATTCGGTATTCATGAGATTTTAATATATAATAACTACATATATGGGTATATAAGCTTCGGCTCGACGATTCTGCATTTCTTTCTTTTTTATTTTAAATATTGTATTTGGTATACAATTTGTGTTGAATGTTTAGTAATACATTTTGTGCAATTGATGCTCTTATTCGTCACCACATGTGACGAATTTGTTTATTGTTTTAAACTGAAAAGAACACAAATAACTTGCTCTTCAGAACATTTTCGTAAGATTTCAGTCTGCTTAGGGAAAACTACTATTCTATTGGAATTATAGAAATTCTATTCTATTGTTTTCTATTATTTTCTATTGGAATTCAGGTTCTAGGGTATAGAGAGGAGAGAAGATACTTCTAGTTAAGTTACGCGCAAATCCAATTGATCCAATTCGCTATGCATGGAGTTATGCTTTCTCTAAGCACACTACACCTAAATAGAACAGCCGACTGATTTCATATGAATCATGACCATAAAAGGCCACAAAATAATAGACACACCACAACTGTCACATGGGCTACGAGCACTGGAAATGCACACAAATGTCGGGTGTTGAATCACACCGCAGCTACAAGTTCAAGTTTTGTTAAAATTTTGGAAACTTGGAGTATTTATCACCTCAGAGCTTTCTGGACTGCGAACTGCTCGCTTGCATTACCTGGAGATGACTGCCATTGTGGCGGCGCCGGAGGCATCCATTCGAGACTGTCTCTTTTCTGGTCGACGACCGGGGGCGCCGAGGAGATTCCCGAGAGCTTTGTTTATTGTTGCGATAAATATGTATGAGTGACGCCTGATGTGTTTGGCCTTTGTTTTTATCGCGTTTGTTTCCAGTTCAAACAGAGGCAGTTGGTCCTCTATATTTAAGCAGAGAGTGTGAGAACTGTAAGTAAGAGAATCATCTGGTCAATAAGAGAAGCAAAGATATTAATGTTTAATATGATGTTTGACCGCCAACAAGTGTGCGTATGTGATATACATCCACCCAGCAAACAAAGTATTTATAAAATAATAATGGTCTTCAACAATAAGAGCTTCCCCAAACTCGTTTAAGCTATGCTTCCTGGTGAATTATTCCTGATGAATGTGAGTTATGAATTACTAAATGTAGTCCGTATCAATACTAAATATTTCCGGGAAAGTGGTTCTGCTCTCCAGCTCCCCTATTGTATGATATCATGTTTGTATCTCCAGTGCGATGTTTGATCAGAGCATAAGGTTAAGGCGTGTAATAAAGAGCACTCGTGTAATCACATATTGTCATTCAGCTAATTAGTTTTGCCACTCGACTCACCTGCGTATGATATCACGCTATTTTTTGTAAGGCGGCCAGCCCATTTAGCCTTTCCTGGCAACTGGGTCACAACCAAAAAAAAATGTTTTTATTGAGAACTCAGCATGTGTATGGTCATATAAGGTTTTTGAATTAAGGCGGTCTGTAAAATTATACTTCGGGTACTAGCATATGCAAATAGCCAGAACACACGTCTTTCAAAAACAGTACACATACTTTGAACGAGTTTTGAATATGAATTATGCCCATATAGCACCTACAACACATGCATATGTAGGTCTTCGCTCACAATTAATAATGTGGTCTAGAGATGACGGCTAACTCATCAATATCAATTTTTAAAGAGTACGTCATCGCACACAAGTACACGGTGTTGAGAAATTAAACCTATTTAAAATGACAATGATGGGACAAACAATTTTGGAATAATATTCCGAATACGGTTGAATACAGATCGGTTGAAAACACTCAGTTTCCCATTTTTCAATGTCATACGAACGAATTTATGGTTTCCAAATCTTCCAAAAACATTTAAGCTTGCTTATTTTCAATTAATTTGGAGATATTTTAAGGGATATATTACGAAACACGGAATGCGCATATTTCGCATATACATTTTAAATATTGTATACTATTTATTTGTACACTATTATAGTACACACTATTTATGTGTATATACATACATATACATATATACGAATACATATGTATGTGACTTTTTGAACACTCCATAGAAAAAAAGAAAATAAATTCGAAAAAGAAAGAAATTTTTGGGTACCATCAATTCAGTGTTATGAACATATATTTCCTCAAAAACACTCAGTTTGGTGTTAGCTTAGCTATTAGCTTATATTATGTAGAATCGACCTCAGTTCCGATGATTGCTTTCAAAACAGTAGATAAGACAAATCAACGGGCAATTTAACGAAATGAGCTCAGCAAAATAATAACTTTGAATAAAATAATAAGTTTGTTATTCTCTATATAATCAGCCTTCAACTCAACTGATTAGGCTAGGCTAAATTTTACTTTATACTATTATACTCGTACATATACTATATGGGGCGATGCTATTACATATTTCTGAGAAAACACCATTTAATTTTTTAGGCACACTTACTTGTACGTCAACACGATCTGCGCAATTTCAGACGATCCCGGTGCGATGATTATAAGAACTGTGCTTCGAACAACAGGCGGACAGAGAGCTGTCTCAGACACTAAGCGAAAGCCAAAGCTCGTGTTTGCTTTTATATTTTTCTTGAGCCCGCTTTTCTTAAACGCGCTCGCCTGGTCACATCGCTCTCTGAGGTTGCTGGGACAATTGATAAGCAAAGCTTCGTGCGATAAGCGGCAACCTGAACTTCAAACACAGTGAAAACAAATTAAAAAATTCCCAGAAAACTATGTATGTATACTAATGTAGTTATTATTATTTTAATTATGTATGGGTCGATTGTGGTAGGTGTTTAGTAATCAGCAGCGGTATTGGATAGGTAGTCGCGACGTCCTATGTTTGAAGCTTGCTTGTTCTGAACAGCCTCCAGTTTTGGGCATTCCGTGATGCGATGGCCCAGACCACCACAGTAGGTGCAGCCATGAGAGTCGCCCAGGTCCAGGTGCTGGTGCTCGGCCTCAGGCGCCAGTTCGTCCAAGAATTCCGGAACCTCTTGCTTGCCTTCGATGAGCAGGTGCTTCAGGTCGAGCAGGACTGACTGCTCGGTAATCTTGTTTATCAGCGTGGTAGCCAATCCCTTGGTGTTGGAACGACCTGTACGGCCAATACGATGCACATAGTTTTCAATATCGTCCGGCATGTCGTAGTTAATAACGTGTTGCACGTTAGGGAAGTCCAGACCCTTTGAGGCCACGTCGGTGGCCACCAGCACATCTTTTTTGCCCACGCGGTAGGCATCGACTGCCCGCGATCGTTCTTCCTGATCCTTTCCGCCGTGAATTGCCACCGCCTCCACGCCTTTCAGCAGCAGATACTCATGTATGCAATCTACATCCTGCTTCTTTTCAGCAAAAATGAGCACGGGCGGCGCAGTCTTCTGTAGGCAGTCCAGCAAATATACCACCTTTGCCTCTTGCTTAACATACTCAACCTGCTGGGTGACGTTCATTGACGCAGCACCTGCGCGACCCACATTTATTGTTACAGGCTTCACGAGGGCTGAACGGGCAAAGTTCTGGATCTTTTTTGGCATGGTGGCCGAAAATAGAAGTGTTTGACGCTGGCCTTTGAAGAAGGAAAATATCGTACGTACGTCCTCTTCAAATCCCATGTCAATCATGCGGTCAGCTTCGTCCATGCACAGGTACCGGCACATGTCCAGCGTAAGAATCTTCTTGTCCAGCATGTCCATGAGACGACCTGGTGTCGCCACAACGATATGTACGCCGCGTGAAATGACGTCAAGGGCTTCGCTGATCGGCAACCCACCCATAGCCAAGCAGGAACGAATTTCAGGCATTTTGCACAGCTGAAGGTGCTTGCTGTAATGCTGGATGATCTCGTGTGTTTGCTTGGCCAGCTCGCGGGACGGGCAGATGATCAGTCCGTAGGGGCCCTCGTTACGCTCAAAAGGCAGACTGTACTCCTGTTCCAGGGCAAACATGACGACTGGCAGCACAAAGACCAGCGTTTTTCCAGACCCAGTGAAGGCTATGCCAATAAGGTCGCGACCGGCTAGAACAGTGGGTAGACCTTGCACTTGGATTGGGGTCGGGGTCTTAATGCCTTTGGCCGCTAAGCCGTTAAGAATACCCTTGGGGAACTTCATTTCGCGGAAACTGCGAATTGGCGGGCTTGGTTTTTCTCCCTCCACTAGGATCCTCAACTCCTGGCGCACGGCCTCGCGCTCTTCCTCCGACATTGCTCGAATGTAACGCGGCGGCTGCCAGGAGGTTTTGATGGGCTGCTCGTACTGAATCCCCTTTGCTAACTCTGCAACACCCATAAGGGCCTTCTGCTGAGCAATGCTCTCCATAATCTTTTCCTCCTCTCGTAGTTGCTTTTCCACGGCACTCAGCTTTTTGGCCTCTGCAATTTTCTTTAGTTCTGTGTGCTGGTCAAGCAGACTAATGTTGTACTTCCGACCCCAGGTCTCGGCATCGTGCGCGCCCTGCGAGTCGTCCTCATTCTCATTTTCGCTTGAGGACTTTGGCTGCGCCGTTTCCGAAACCAGTTGCACGATCCTGCCCAACTTCATCATGTGCTGCTTCTTCCGCTCTTTCACCGGTACGTACGGCACGTACTCCTCGTTGTCCTGGTCGCCTTCCTCGGAGGACTTGGACGACCTCCGATACCGCTTTACTTGCGCCATACCAGTCGATCTATATTTCTGACTTTCGTTGGACCTAAACTGTCTGTAAACAAACAAAAGCCACCGTGCGACGGTTTAAAATAGACGAACCCAAAAAATACTTAATACTATTAGCTATCGAATTCAGTATTAAACATTTATTCCACTGTCAACATTTCATTTCAGGTTTGTTCGCGTTTTGTGAAATACTTAAAATTTAATATCTGCACGGTTCAATTCTTAAAAATGTGTGGCACATAATTATTCTGCACAATTTTGTATGTTTTGATTTTATTTATTTTGCAAATTCTTTCCGTTTTTCATAAATTCATGGGATGAATCATCTGTTTTTGGAGCGCATACATATGCAAACATTTACAAACCCTTCTGCAAAACGTCCAACAATTTTAGGGAAACGTATGCAAATGCGTTTCATTAAAAGTGTTACAGAAGTATTTGTGTAGAATGCTTAGAGTCCGTTCCTTTGTAGGAAAAAAAAACTGTGACCGAATATCGAATAGATCCGCTTCCCTTCCGACTATAGCACATGTTAGGTATTCTAAGCAGTGTGAATATGCTATTTAATAAAAAAAAATTACATATATCGATTGCTGACTTTGAACTATACATTGACTGACTCGATACATTGATATTGGTATTCACTCGCTCCCACATTACCATTTTCGACAAATAATAAAAGGAGTGAGCATTGTTAGATTTAACCATTGTTTGTATTTAAAGTGCAAGATACAGAACTGCCTCCGCTATGTCTATGTCTAAAACGACTAACACCTACAACCGTCAGAACTGGGAGGATGCCGAATTCCCAATTCTGTGCCAGACTTGCCTTGGGGACAATCCGTACGTGCGGATGATTAAAGAGCGTTTCGGCAAGGAATGCAAGATATGCACGCGTCCATTTACAATATTTCGTTGGTGTCCTGGTGCCCGTATGCGCTTCAAAAAGACGGAGATATGCCAAACATGTGCGCGCCTGAAGAACGTGTGTCAGACCTGCCTCTTGGACCTGGAGTACGGATTGCCCATTCAAGTTCGAGACGCGGCGCTCAAAGTGGCTGACAATATGCCACAAAGCGACGTTAACAAGGAGTACTATATCCAAAACATAGACGCGCAGCTGCAGGATGGAGATGGCACGGAGGCGGCTGGGGCTGTCGGTCGATCGCTCGCCGCCAACGAGATGTTGTCCAAGCTTGCGCGCACAGCGCCGTACTACAAGCGGAACAGGCCGCACATCTGTTCCTTTTGGGTTAAGGGCGAGTGCAAGCGTGGCGAGGAGTGTCCATACCGCCACGACAAGCCCAACGAACCGGACGATCCGCTGTGTGAGCAGAATATTAAGGACAGGTACTACGGACGCAACGACCCAGTGGCCGAGAAGATCATGAAGCGTGCAGCCTCTCTTCCCACACTCGAGCCGCCGGAGGACCGGAACATCACCACCCTCTATGTGGGAAACCTTCCCGAAGAGATCACGGAGCCCGAGCTACGAGATCAGTTCTACCAGTTCGGGGAAATTCGATCCATTGCACTGGTGCCACGCCAGCAGTGCGCTTTTGTACAATACACTAAAAGAAACGCTGCAGAGCTGGCTGCTGAGCGGACCTTTAACAAGCTGGTTATCCAGGGCCGGAAGGTGAGCATTAAGTGGGCTCACTCTCAGGCAAAACAGGGCACCGCTGCAAAGACTGACAGACGCTTCGACCTGGCCGGCATTCCTCCCCCTAGCGCGAAGCCCAACGACTATTTCAATCTTCGCCAAGAGCAAATCAACGTCATGCCCGCCGGCATGAAGCTGCATCAGCTGCCATCGAATCTAGTTCCGGCGTCGGCTTACCAAATGTACGGTCAGCCGACTTATGCAGCGCCCTACAGCAACGTCAGTTCCACAGCCACTTCTACCTCGGGTGTGAGTCTCGACTCCATATCGATTCCTCCGCCACCGGGACAAGTACCTTATCCAAGTCAGGACGCTAGTCGGATGGGAGCTGCAAAGAAATAGAAAACCCAATGGTCTACAATGGTTCCAATTAAATAAATCATTTTTATAAAATAAACATTAAATATAAATATAATATAAAATACAAACATTTTAACGGGGTCAGTTCCAAGAAATGCCTTAATGTTAATAGAATTTATCCGGAGGGAAAAATTAAAACTAAACTACAGAGAAGATTTATATATTCAAATGATAAAATCACTTATTCGGCACGCTTCAATAAAACAGACAAGATATTTTGATATCGTTCCGATTGAGTGATAGTTATTGCGTTTTCTTAGATAAATAAATAGGAATTTTTCCTGACAATTTTTTTTATCAAAACTTTTGTATGTTGAGATGCGATCGTCAATAGTTTTCAACTTAAGAGGTTTTCTTCCTTGATACAAGGACAACGATATTGTGAATTGAAAAAAATACACCAATATACAGTTGCGGTCAAAATAATAGTAGTTCCGGTGAAGGAACACGTTATTTCCCATTATTTCCTCTATTCTTTCACATATTTTAATAATTTTTCACACAAGTAACTGTAATTCTCTAAGAATGTAAAGTTTTGTTCGGTTCTCTTCTTGTTTTACATCATTTTTCGCTTTTAATTGCAAGGATTCACTAGTTTAACCCACTCAAAATGATAGTAGTGCCAGATAAATTGACAGGAATAATTAAATTTAATCGATTTTTAGGTTAAGAGTTCCCACCATTTTTAGACTCTTCATTGATATTAAGTACCAAGTCCAGGGGGCGTGGCTAACACTGTTCTGCCGAGGCGGGAACTCTTTAAAAAACTGATTTCTACTGGAAAGTGCAAAATATTATCGGGTGCTCTTCTACTTTGCTATCAAATATGAACCAGCTAATTAAATACGCGGTCGGCCCTAGTTATTGACCAAAAGGTCAGTAGATCGCTTAGCAAGACAGACAAGAATCGAGCCTTTCGCGTCTGCTGCAGCACTAAATAAAACTTGTAATCCTAATGTTAGTTTGGCAACAATAAGAAGACGTCTCAGAGTTGAAGACCTCATTTCAAGAAGTCCAAAAAAAGTGAATTTACTAACAAAAAAAACATGCAGCCAAACGTTTGAAGTTAGCAAGAGACCACTTAATTTGGCCTTTGGAGAAGTGGAGGGCGAGTTTTTCGTAATATGGAGTTGGACCAGTGTATTGGGTTAAAAACATCATGGACCGTTAGTTATATGTCACAATTTTAAACGTCGTGATGCTCCCATACGCCTCCGAGGACATGCCAGTTGTTTGAACGTTCCAACAGGACAATGAACAAAGAGTGGTTCGCAGCCAATCAAGTCAATATCATGAAGTGCCTCGCACAGTTACCCGATCTCAATCCAATTGAAAATTGTTGTGTGAATTAAAGATAGCAATCTCAGAAATAAATCCGAGCAATAGCTTTGAACTCTGGGAAGCTGTACAAAGGTCTTGGAACTCTATGACTCTAAAATAAACATTTAATATAGGTCTATTATATGGATTTAAACATTTAACCTTAAAATGTTTTATTTGTCTGTGATGCTGTTTGAAAAAATTCACTACTATTATTTTGACCGATCAAATTTTGGTCCAATTTCACATTTTCATTTCTTTTTGAAAAGTCTTATGAATTATCCAAATTCAATTTTTGTTATTATCACCTATGTACAATGAGTTAAGTTTCATTAAATATAAAAAAAAAATTTTGTGATCACGTTTTGAAAGGTGTTTTTTTTTTTGGTTGCTTGAAAACCTCTGTGGGCACTACTATTATTTTGACTGCAGCTGTACACACATACGTACACGTACATGTATGTAAGTTCATTCTTCCGCATTTGTAGTGGAACTGAACATGGGTTCCATTCAGCGCTCTTTATCAGTGAATTACCACTCAGCGCTTGCTTAATCACCGCTCGATTTGTATGAAAACTAGCGATGATTTTAACATTTTGATAGGAGTTCATCACTAGGACAAACCATCGCAAAACCACCGCTAATAGAGCGCAAAATCATCGCTATTAATCACCGCTGTTTTGTGATTGCTGATGTTGTGGAACTGCAGGGTAGGCAAGGGTTACATTATACATACATATGTGTGAGCAGTGCATATGCCTATTCTAATGCTATTTATCTTAGACTAACTGTAAAGTATAATAATTATAATTAAAATTAAAATGATAATATAATATGGTTATATTGTTTTTGCTCAGTAATACCATTTCAGATAATTAGCAGGATTTGTGTCTTATGTTAACATACACTTGCCAGAAAAAGTATGCTTACACACTCAATGCATAACTTTGATGGCAAAAAAAGTATATTTATATAAATGATATCGAATTAATTTCTTTTTTACGTTAGAAACACATTTATTATACACATTTATTAGCTTTAAGTACTTAACTTATTTTATAGAAATTAAAAAGGTACAAATTCATGGTACATGAGTATGCTCAAAGTATTCCAGTGGGTGGTGTTATAAGTAAGTGAGCGCTCATTCGCAGGGAGACGCGTGCATCTCGGCGATAGTTTAAAAACTTGTTCAGCGGATCTTAATCATTCTGTTCTTAGATCTGTCGGAGATCACGTTTAAGCCCGCTGATAGTCGAACCGCGCGATGGCAACCGTTTTTCTTGGCACTGTCGTGCACACCAAGTCGTTCGGCGAGTTCGAGTCCTTCGAAAAGGGCTTCCTGGTAGTGGACGACGCTGGCAAGGTGAGCATTATGACTCCCAGAACATGATAATGAGCTAACATGTGTTTCGCCCATAGATAATAGGAGTGGGCCAAGACTACAAGGCATGGGCAAGCAGCAACCCGGCCCAGGCCAAGGGTCTGACCGAAGTCCAGCTGTCGGACTACCAGTTCCTCATGCCAGGCTTCGTAGACTGCCACATCCACGCCCCGCAGTTTGCTCAACTGGGATTGGGACTAGATATGCCTCTTCTGGACTGGTTGAACACGTATACTTTCCCGCTGGAGGCGAAGTTTTCCGACCAGCAATACGCCCTTCAAGTCTACCAGGGTGTGGTCGTAAGTATCTCTTAGGATGCACTTCTTATCATTGGGGCGCACCAGTAGATCCCCGTCTATTTCTAAACCACATAAATTATATATATTCTTGATCAGAATCAAGAGATCGAGATCTCACGAACTATAAAAGCTAGAGAGTTGAGTCTAAACATGCGGATTCCAGAGACATAGTTCTTTACCTATGTACATATGTTTCCACGCCCCATCCAACAGCGACAAGCCGTCCAAAACTGGCACGCCCACATTTTTGAAATACATTCATTTTCTTTTTTTTTTTTCCAATTTCTACCCATATTTCAGAAAATGTTGAACCTTTTCGTTCGCAATCCCACTAGCTTTCTAAAAGGTATCTGATAGTCGGGGAACTCGACTATAGCGTTCTCTCTTGTTATTAGATGATAATGATTGATTACACCCCAGGAAGCAACACTGCGGTGCGGAACCACGCTGGCGTCCTATTTCGCCACCAACCACATGGAGTCAACGCTGACCTTGGCGCGGGAGGCGGTGCGTCAAGGCCAACGGGCACTGGTGGGCAAGGTCTGCTCCAATTGCAACAGCCCCGACTTCTACGTGTGGGTACCGAGCGTGACGGATTTCGTCTAGTCAACTCAATGTTGTTTCTCTACACAGGGAGTCAGCGGAAGAGTCGGTCAGAGCAACTGTGGCTTTCGTCGACGGCGTGCGAAAGCTCGGCAGCCCGTTGGTGATGCCGACAATTACGCCCCGCTTTGCCCTTAGCTGCAGCAAGGAGCTGCTTAAAGATCTGGGCGATATTGCGAAGCGATTCGACCTGCATATCCAAAGTCACATCAGCGAAAATCTGGCGGAGATCGAGGTGGTAAAGGGGATATTTAAGACCAGCTACGCCGGAGCATACGACGAGGCTGGCCTGCTGACGAACAAGGTTAACTCTTTTAGGTTTTAGTTTGTGCGCCACCTTCACCTTTACTACCTTCCAGACGGTAATGGCTCACGGCGTGCATCTGGAGGACGACGAGGTGGCACTCCTTAAAACCCGCGGGTGCTCGGTGGCCCACTGTCCCGCCTCGAACACAATGCTAAGCTCAGGTCTGTGCGATGTCCAACGGCTGGTGAGCGCCGGCGTGAACGTAGGTCTCGGTACAGACGTTTCAGGGGGAAACTCAGTCTCGATTCTGGACGTCCTGCTGCGCGCATTGGACGTGTCAAAACATCTTGACTTTTTTAAGAAGCAGAACATTCGCGGAACGGGGGTGGCCGAAACACAAGATCCAAACTACATTCCGTTAAAGTACAAGCAGGCACTCTACTTGGCCACATTGGGTGGAGCCCAAGCGCTGTCCCTGGATCAGTTGACCGGAAACTTCGTCCTAGGGAAGGAGTTTGATGCTTTGTTGGTGGATGTCAGCGTCGTCGAAAAACCCATGCGGAGACTGAGCGTCGATGAACTGGTGGAGAAATTCATTTACACAGGCAGTGATCGCAATATTATCGAGGTTTTTGTGGCCGGGAAGCGTATTAAACAGAAATACCAATGAGTAGTGAGCAATTATACCTTTAACAGTGTGATTTCTCAAGGAAACGTATAGAGAATTTATTTTTATAGTGATAAACATTAAATGCTGTAATGGAATTTTGAGATAACCACCAATATACATATTTCTGTACACAGCTAAAAAGTAACACTTTCTATTTTCTAAAAGTTACATTTTATACTCGGAACAGCTATGTACATATGCTATATTCTTGCTCCCACCACATATTGGCTAATGGGTCAAGGACAAATTGTAATTAATCTAATTACAGAGAATAAAGTGTATATTTATATACACGAATCTATGATCTTTATGAATGTTTAAATCGCGTGAAATCATTGGGTAGTTAAATCATCGTTAAAGTCTGGGGGTTTTCGACGTTATATCTGGGCGGACTGTTGTTGGATGCAATAGGAATGTTGAATTTGGCTTTGCTGTTATATAAATTAAGTAAAATGTCCTCGGGCGTTCAGAATTTTTAAAAGGTTTTGTTGCGCTATCTAAATTGCATGCACTATTGCAAGCATACATATGTAAATACTTTAACGTTAGAGAATAAAGCTTACACTTTTACATGAATTTACACTAGATTCAGCTAAGATACTGCGATAAATATATATGTAGTTATAAGACGCGTTTTACGCATTAAACATATTTTGCTGCGTAGCATCGTTTTCAAAATCTGTCCATGCGTTGTTTAGTTCCATAAAAATTAGCTTGGCAATCTCCTCGTTCTCTGTTCCATTATGCTAGAAATAGAATGCATTAACAGAAACCAACTAGTTTTTGCACATGTCCCCTACCTTATCAGGATGCACTGCCAGGCAGGCGCGACGGTATGCTTTCTTGACCTCGGCTGGTGTCACCATGGTGGACATCTCGCAGCGCTGCCACTTGGCATTGTCCCACAGCACTGTGTGCATAGAGCAGAGAAGCGCACGGATGTTGTTCTTCTTACCATCGGTCTGCAAAATAATATATTAAACGAAGCTTCTTTTCAGTTTTCGAATTGTTTTACCCATTCCATAATCCGCACTTTCTTCGGGTCCATGTCCCGTACCAAATCTTCCTTGCGCATTTCATTGATGGATCGTGGACCCTGGTTCATTTTGCTGCCAAAGGAGTAGCCTTGTTGGCCCAGAATGTCAGCAAATATGTCAGAGTTCTTGGGTCCACCAGTTCCCGCTTGGTGCGCTGCTTTCTGTGGATCAAAGTGAGCTCGACTGTAGTCTGGTTTTGATTGGGCAGGGACCGACTGTGACTGCGTCGGCGTCCTGAGAGACGATGTCGTGGGCAGAGTCTGCGTTTGCGGCGCTGTATGCATAAACGTGGCTTGTGGTTGCGAGGATGGCGATTGCTTGTGAGTTGGGCTTGAGAACTGAGTCGGCTGGGGACTAGTGCCGACGGGAGACATTCCACTTAACGTGCTGCGGTTAAAGTTTATGTTGAGCCCTGTCGCCAGGTCGGCGATGTTCGCAAATGGATCTGCAGATGCCTTTGCCGGATGAGTTGGTGAAGGATTGGTAGCCGCTGGCTGAGCAACAAAAGTTGGCAAGGAGCCAACGAAAGGTGGAAAACCCGAAGGCTTCATGCTGGGCACATTGCCTGGGTCCACAGATCCAAATATGTCGAATGGATCAGTGTTTATTTTCGGTTGCGGCTGCTGCAATGGCGGAGGTGGCAGTATGTCAGGAATTGGTGCTGAGCCTATGCCCGTGGAGTCGTCATCACCGAAGGCCCCCAACAAGTCAAAGCTGGCATCTGTGCTAGGCTTGGCGCTGGCTAACGGATCTGCTGCTGGTACGTCACTGGGCTGCTGGTTCAAATTAAGCAAGTCTATCGGTGGAGAAGGCTCTGGCATGGGTGACGGAAGTTCGTGAGCGGTCTCCGTGACATCGGGCAAAACGAGCGGAGAGCTGGCGCTATCACTCGGTCGCGCGCCCGAAATTGGCGAGGATCGCGTGCTGGGCTTGGACACTAGAACACGTAAATTAACCCCAATGCACAGCCAACAAGCAGACGCACTTACCGAAATTGTCGAGCATCTCTGCATACTCCAAATCCGAGCTGAACAAAACGGCGGGGGATCGCATGGGCTTGGCAGGCATCCATGGTGGCTTATGGCTGGGAGGTGATTCCGAGTCCGTCACAGACAGAGAAAGTGAAACGCAGAAGCGAGGTGTCACCTGTTCAGGGTCTGGCAAGTCATCCAAGTCCTGGTTTGTGAATGTAATCAACGTTTCTGGTTCGGGAATGAATCCCGTGTTAAATTGAAACTGGCATATCTTGAGGCCTTGTGGCCGCACCATTCCCTTCCGGGCGTGAAGCAACACCACTGTCACATCACCGCAGACGGTCAAGTTAATCGGCAGAACTATTTTGCCGGAGCCGGCCGGACACAACCTGCAATTGTTGGTCAACCAGAGGTAATTTGGATAGATCTTTTGCTTTAATTCTCACCGCATCTTTTCGTAGTCCTGCAGCGTGCTAAGCAGCAAGTTCCCATTGCAATAGACCTCCATATAGATCCTACAGCCGTCGCGCGCCTTGTTCATTCTGGGCACAGGCTGACAACTGAGAGACACAAGGTTTGTGTTCTTGTAGTGCGGCAGCAGGGGCGTGGGCCGCAGGATGTCTCCGAAGTAGTACAGGTAGCGGAACTCGGAGGGGCGCAGGTTAATGGTATGCCGCTTAACGGCGAAAACTTGCACCGCGTCTTCCGGTTCCTGAAGCAAATCTGCGTACATAAGAAGCGCGCATATAACGGTGGCGGCAGTGCATCCACCCGAGTCTCCAGTCTGCACGATTACAATGGATTTGGGGTCCGCGTTGAGAAAATTGTACATGTCGGCTGCTACGGTAAACAGGCCCTAATGAAAAACAAAGATTCAATTTTTATTTTATTACTTAGGAGCTCTTAAATTGTAAAGTTTTAAAACACAAAATTTGTTTTTCTTTTAGTTATTCACAAAAAGTTTGGCTACATCGAGTTTATACCATCTGAAATATATAATACTGTTTAAGGCTTGGCGTATGAAACCATTCTGTTACACAATAAACCTACGGCCATCGCTTTAAAGTGCTTCAATCGGCCTCTTCTTAAACGCATCACAAGACGTTATAAAATTGCTTGTGGCACAATACATACCTGCAGATTGGGAGCATGTGCCTGTGGGCACCCATAAACTGAACCTGCCTCAACTGTTCGCACGGGTGGCGGTAGCCGGGGCTCTGTTCGTTGGCCAAAGTTGTAAATGCTAATTTTTTGTGGGACAAAACGGCTCTCCAGAGATAGTCGGACGTCTTCGATGTTGTTCGTCTTGTACGTCGACTCAAATCCGTCCGACGGGCAGGGCATTACCAGGATACGAGAGGTAATGTGGCTTATATCAAGATCGTTGCGAGCAAGAGATTGTTGCATTGTTTGCATCACTTTGGTGGATGTATCTTTAATGTTCTTAAAAAGCGTTCCAGCGCCTCCGCGCAGTGATGACAGAAGACTGCCGTGTCCATTACCCGATAATGGCACGGCGGCGGAGAGCGATGCAGAGTGCCGAGTGGTGTTAGACGGTTCGGTATAGAACTCAGAGGGAATAGAACTTTTGCGAGAAGGACTCTCAGCCGGAAAGGACTCGATGGGCATTGTATGAAGGTCTAGAGGTTCTTTGAGCGACCAATTGTGTGTCTCAGCGAGGGCTGCGAGGCCTTCCAGCACCATGGAAATATCCAGGCGTTCGAAAGGGTTCACTTTTAAACAGCCCCGGATTATATCGCGAAAGCACTGGTACTGAGGATCTGGCGGAATTATGTAATTGGCGTTAATGATCCGCAGCTTGCCGCCATCCTCATAGGGATGCTTGAGATAGCACAGGAAGTAAAGGATGCAGCCGAGAGCCCATATGTCCGCTTTGGGGCCGATCGGGTGGTTGGACCAAGTGTCGAGCATCTCAGGGGATCGGTACATCGGTGTTGTTACAGTGTTTAGCTGATCCTCCAGCATGCTGCGCTGGTTGGCGCTCCACTCAAACGTGGGTGCCAGTACCTCCATGCTGGCCGACCCAAAGTCGCACAGCTTGATCTGTTTGTCGTTGCCAATGAGAAAGTTCTCGATCTACAATTGAATAGAATGGTATTAGCCTGTGACTTGCAGCTCATGTTGTAGGCCAACCTTTATGTCTCGGTGGGCTATCGGCGGTGACTGTGAGTGCAAGCTGGCCACAGCCCGCGCCATTTGGTAGAAGATGCGCAGCACACAGTATGGATCGATCGGGGCATTGTTTGTTCTGAAGCAGTCCACCAGTGAGCCGCCTGTCGAGAATAGAAATCCATATGCTCAAATGTACATACAGTATGATTGGACGCCCTAAGGCGCCACTTACCTTTACACAGCTCGGTGAGGAGGAAGTACTGAGCTCCCAATTGAGAGGACGGGGCGGTATAACTGGAACCCACAAAGGTGACAATGTTTGCGTGACCCGACACCTGCTTGTGAATACTGATCTCGTTCATAATGGCGGTGGAGGCCTGCTGGTCAGCCCCGATCAGACGCTTGAGGGCGTATTCTGTGCCAGTTTGCACATCTTGGGCTATGTACACAAAGGCATATCCGCCTGAAAAAGGGGGTGGAAGCGAAGGGCAAGTAGATAACGAGGCACTGATAAGAGCCTGCTTAAATGCTAAATGCGGTACGCTCAAGAGGAAGAGGTTCACCAGCTGGTAGTCCCATATATATTTACGAATATTCTGTCGTCTTGTGACCTACAGCTCCCGCCAGAGCTCCGAACTTTCACCCGTCTCCAGTCCACTGTCGTTCTTATATAAGAACTTGTTTCAGAAAACTATGACTCACAGGTCATGGGCGCAAGACGCAGTAACCGTGATAGTGGCAATGCACAGTGGTCACAATGCGTCTGCTGGCCTGGCTCAGGCGGAGCTGCGAATCTCGAAATCAGAAAGCGTAAACATGGCGCAGGCAAGTACTCGGATCGGCCTGGTGGCTTCAGCTTCACTTCCTATTGATTTTTCCACCCACGCCCCTCACCTTCGGCGATGACACACTTGATGCGCAGCCTGTGCCCAGCTACTTCTACGACCTGGCCCACGAAGTCGTTGTCCAGCCTGCCCCCGGGTGTTCCTGCTGCTCCGCTTCCTGCAGTTTCGTTGGCCTCGCTGGAGGAGAAGTAGTTGAAGTTCAGCGACTTAAAGAACTCGCTCATTTTGGTGGTGGCCAATGCTTGAAGGCTGTAGTCCAAAATTGATTCACTTATAATATCTTGCGCCCGTTAATAGAACTAAAACATTTTCTTAGCGCTGTGGCCACAAAAAATAAAAAGAAGAATGTGCAGGGCTGCGGAGGTGCAGGCTCGGCAGCAGGTGGGAGCGGAATCAGTTGGCTCCGATAACTTGATGCCGCAGCCCTGGCGCGCCATCGATACTTGGCACTTCACTCTTATCGATGTTGCGCGCGGCTAACGGAAATATTGCATTTATACTACATTTACAGTTATTATTTAAATGATCGAAATTACTCGCACCATCTTCGAAATTCTGCTTGTTAAATTTTGGCTTGGATATTACACCTGTGGTTACGAAATTGGCTTAATTTCTCCGCTGTTTTTGCGGTCAAAATAGTGGTAGTGCCCCAGAGGCTTTCTAGCAAGATTAGTTTTATTTTTAATAAAACCTATAGTTTAACAAAAGAACTGTAGATCAAAATTATAATATTATAATATATATACAAATCACAGCAGCCTATAAAACAGGTTATTAGATTGTATTATTATATGCATATAGTTCAATATATTTTGTTCAATATATTTTGTTGTATATGTATTATTGTTTGCAGTAACGGACGCATAGCCCCTAAGCATTAAATCAACTAAATTGTGTTACTTCTTCACAGGACTAGAGATCAAGACTATTGTACAGCTTCCCAAACTTGGACGTTATTGCCAGGCTTTATTTGCGAGACTGTTTACATATATGAAGTTTAAAATGTTGTTATAGCCATGATATTTTAACGCAAAATGCTGGATTAACCAAATTCACAGATAGTTTAGCATTGAATTCAGTTATAAAATAATTGGCATGCCTAAGGGCAACGCCCTAGCTTTGGGATTTCAAGAGATCCCAATGCCTGAATGAGCAGTCATGAGAAGATCGAATTGGCTAGTGACCCTGATCTAGAGTATATATGTACATATATCTAGAGTACATAACATTAACCTCCAATTCTCAATGTGTGTGTACTTTTTGTGGGAAAACACCCACTGGGACTGTGACAACTTTGATAGAAAATTCATCTTGAAAGCTTTCTTGAACAGGCGGCTTGGAGTATCATAAACTTTTACCCAAAAAGTCATTCCCCTTTGAGTCGCCTGAGTAAACTCCCGCATTTAGCTGTGCATCAAGCGTGCATGTGTTTTTGAGCCAATTCAAGGTCCAGCTATGAAGTTGAGTTTCCTATGTACATCGGGCAAGGTAGAGTCGGATTGAAGTCAACAGCTAATTGGGAAACCCTGCGACAACCGCGTCGGAATGAAGAAATGAAGTATGACTTGTAAGCCTTTGCGCGCCTTCCGCTGAGTGAATGGTATCGTCGGTGTTTCTTTCTTCGGATGAATGAGAGCTCCGTTACGTTACGCTTGGTCCGATGCCGACTACGGATAGCTGCAGATGGCCGATATGGCCGTAAGTTTGCGCAAACCGAGCTGCGCAGGTAGTTGCGACAATGGAGTGAGGTGTGTAATTTGCTGTTTGCACCTGGCCAGCTTCACGTAACGCCTGGAGATCGCAATGCAAAATACCCAACCTTATCAGCGTAGCCATTAGCGCCGCCCTACTCCGGCGTTGTATCGATGCCGCCGATCTAGCATTGACACAATTTTCAGGGAGCCGCATTCGGCCAAAGCCGTCTAATGTAAGACAATAAAAATAAACATTTTCCGCGCCATTTGGCGGGCCAGCAAAGCGGTCGGGGCCGTGGAAAACCCCTCTGTAGGCAAACAGCGGGGACATTCTGTTTGCACAACTGCAGCCGAGAACACGCTGTCAAATAACTCTACCTCTGCTGAACCTGGAGCCACCATGTGCCGGCGACTAAGCGATATCCCTGGACTGGTCTTCCTCCTGGCGTCGGTCGCCGTGCCCTGTCGAGCCCAGTTCTACCCCTTAGTCGGACTGGGCCAGGCTGCGAATCCCACAAAATTTCCGGGTGCAGTGCCACGCCTGGTGCTCTACAATCCCTTTAGTGGCCAGCAGCTGGAGCCACTCCGGTACTCGGCACTTTTGCGGGGCAGGCGACAGCCCGTGAACGGAAACATCGTAGAGCTACCTCAGCTCTGGCAGCCCTGCTCCTGCGCCGAGTTCTCCTGCCGGTGCTGCCTTGGTCTGGCCCTGGGACTCGGCGGATCAGCCAACCAGCGGTTGTGCGCGGCCCTCGACTACAACCGGGCGGACCTAGGTCTGCGCCTCAGCGTCGAGATAAATCAGCTCAACGTGGCAACCTTCGCGGTCTCAGCTCGAAATCCGCCCGAATACTGCGTGCCAATGCCGCTCTCGAGCTGCCTGAGACTCTACGACATCCGAGCATTCGACGAGGGCAACATGCAGGTATGTCTGTCGGTGGTCTTAAAGGTTCTGGCCAACCAGTTCTTCGAGTACCGCCTCAGCTGCCTGCGCTTTGGCGCCAGGGGAGTATTCTTCGTCCGCGACGCGTTGCAGGATCAAGGGCAGGATCAGGAAGCACAGGATCTGGTGTCTAGGTCCGATGCTGGCCGGTATGAGCCCAAGAAGCTGTCGGACAGGAGCAGCTTCAGTTTCTACGGTAGATGATTTTGGTCTTTCCCTCTCGCGCTTCAAATTATCATGAGCCATGCATACCTCAATATGTTACATGTTAAGTGAAAAAGTGAAATTTTCGTTAATTAAAAAGCCTTTAACTTTAAGACCCCGCAGTAAAGAGGGCCCTCACTTGGGCTTGTATGATGCGATGATGCGACTGCCTTAGATCTTTTGGCACAAATGAATGTACCAACGTTACATACGTTCTTTAAAACACTTTGGTTAACGATCGCGCACACGGCAATTACTTCTCTGCCCCACTAATTCAAACGGGGAGTAATTACCGCTGGCCCTCCAACCTATTAGGCTGTAAATGTTTATGAAGTGGCCAAGGGGGCTTTTATTACAAATAATAAACTTAATCCTGCGTATCCTTGCTTGCGGAGACTAAAATATAGGGAGATCGCAGCGTATTTTTCGTAATAAGACGGATTACTTCGAGAAAGTTTGGGGCGTTATCGTATTATTTATCTTCCCTAGTTTGGAGGGTTTTTGTTTGATGCCAGAGGTTTAAAAAACGTTTAAAAAACATTTGTAAGTATTTGTTATATTATTACACCACAGAACCAAAAAAAAAAAGCGGTATTATAAGACATAGATCGTCATAAACAATCAATTTAGACCTTCAAAAAAATATTGTATTGTGGTTAAAATGTGGTTAAAAGGTGAATTGACTATAATGCAAAATACAAACAAGTTTTTGAAATTCTTTTTGTTCCCTTGCTGAGGGTATATTGGTTCCAGCGGTTGAAGAGGCTTGCAATGCAGTAAAGGAGACAGTTGCGACCTTATAAAGTATATATGTATATTCTTGTTTGCCCGTCCGTCCGTTCCCAACTTTTCCAAAAGTCGTCTTTATATTGCAAATTGTATATAATTCGAAAGGGCCGATTCGGACCAGTATCATAACTATCATATGGTTGCCAGTTGATTTTATAAATATATAATTACTGCCAGGGTATTTAAATTTCGGCTTTACGAAGCAAGCTTAATTGCTTTTTTGTTATCTTTTTTTTTTAGTTTATTTTTACCATTTAGTACTCATACTTTATTGTCAATTGGGAAGATTATTGAGCCAATACTTACATATAATTTAAATATGTTTCGTATTTCAATACAATATATTGTTATTCAAAACATAAAAAATAGTTGACTGCTTTTAAGAAACTAACATTTGATTCAAAATGCAAATATCTCACGGTGGATTGTAGGTAGAAAATAAAACTATCTATTTTCCATACCTCATTTTCTTTTAGTTTCCGAAGGAGAATCTTCAAAATGCCAATTTTGAAGACTTAATGCCATTGCTTATGTTCTGCAGTTTCAACAAGAATATTATTATGTGAACCCAAAACTTACAAATGCAATGTTAATGTTTTAAATAGAAATCTTTTAGCTAATAATTAAAATTAATTAATTAAATCTCATTAATCATTTGATCGGTATCTAAACAATTGTGTAGAGGCATTGCTAATTATTCATTATTTATTGGAAACTATTTTGCATTTTGCAGTTATTAACATAATACTCGTTTGCTTATTAAAAACAATACGCAAGGCACAGAAACGTGTGAAACATTTTCCCAAATGAATAAAGTGAAGCCAGTTGTTTTTGTTGCATTTCGGGGAATTAGCAGACGACAGTGAAGATGTTCCATTTGAGTGACAAGCTTTATCTAGCCCCTTGCCAAAAAATAAGAAACAAGATCAAACAAAACGCAAAAAAAAAGTGGAAAAGTGCCAGTCTGAAGAAGTGGCTAGAAAAATTTTACAAGTCAAATCTATTTAAAAACAAGAGATAGTCGAGTTCCCCGACTATTAGATACCCGTTACCCAGCTAGTGGAACGGAATCGGTAGAAATTGGAAAAAAATAATAAAACGAAAAAAATTAACATTTTTTTAAAAGTGTGGGCGTGACAGTTTTGGTCGATTGGTGGGAACAAGTTTTTTGGCAAATCTACATAAATTTACAAGATACATAAAAAAAGTAAATGTATCATATCTTTTAAAAGTGTGGGCGTGACAGTTTAGAGCGGTTTGTGGGCGTGACAACATTTGGATGCGTCTATGTCTCTGGAAACTGCATGCATACTGGGATCTCGACGTCTATTCGGACGGACAGACGGACATGGCCAGTTCGATTCGGTTATTGATTAGGATCAATAATGTATATACTTTATGTGGTGGGAAACGCTTTGCCTGTTGCATACTCTTCTACGAGTCTAGTATACCCTTGTACTCTACGAGTAACGGGTATAATAATTGGAAGAAACGCTGTGTAGAGCAAAAAAAACAACGAAATGAAATGTGTGCTGTATAGTGCTAGTACAATGGAAGGCTTAGTCGGCTAATCGGCCTAATCCTATGAAGTAACAGCGCAGAAGAGGCCGCTTGTCCCACTGTGCATCGATCGCCGCTGCTAGTGTTGGTGCTGCTGGCAGCGACGCAATTGCGCAATTGTTCGCTCATTTCGGCTGCCTCTTTTTTGGCGTGCTCGGCTTTGTTTGCCGACTCAGTCGCAGTTAATGTTGCTGTTATCGAGAGCAATTTCGCCTTGGATTGGTTTGGTTTGGCTTGGCTTGGAGATGGGGATGGAGATGGTTATAGCCTCGGCTTTGGCGGCTCTGTGCCCGATTGGGGCGCATGGAGGGCGGTTGGGGAGGGACCGACAGACGGGATCGGGCGGTACCGAGCGGGATGCGCGGCTCCACTTCGCCGCTTGTCTGGCTTTCTGGTTGAGTATCGCTGGCAGCGCTCGGTCTGCTGCTGCCTGCGCCGTCGGCCTCTAAACATACATACATGTGTATACATAATAATTTTACTTTTTCTGCCGTTTTCCAGCTCGCTGCTTTTTTACTTGCAAGCGAAACCTTCCAACCACCAGTCAGTTGTATTTCGGTCCGCGCTGCGATCTGTCGCACCTTGTAGTCACCACCGCTAGCGAGACAACTAAGCTTTAGGCTTAGTATCCACCATCGCATCCACATCCTGAGCGGAGGAAGACGAAGCAGTGCGTTGGCCACCCCTGAAAGTCAAATCGATTTTCCCGGAAAAGAAATGTGAGTGTTTGCGCCGTAACACGCTGCGTATGCGCACTATGTGCCCACAATCAGCCCAGTACTTCAACGGTGCCTAGTTGATCGTCGATCGGAGATCGGAGTGCAGTTGAGCTGTTGATAAAACTCTTGAGTAATTCCCGGGTAACCTTTGACGAGTCGGCTTGTCGAGGGGCTTGTTCAGTGCCAGACTTTCAGTGCGACCTGCCGCAACGAAACCAGTTCCGCCCAGAAGCCCGAGTGAATCTGCTCTCGACCAGCGCACTCATCCAGACGATGACAACATTTCACACTTCAGCTCATGCGTTGGCCCCCAAAGCGACCAGATAGGCCCACCAACCTATGGCTCCACATGCAGTCGAAAGGAAAAAGAGTTTCACTTTCAATTGCGACACCCAGGTGAAGGAGTGGGCGGAGGGGAAGGGCGCAGGGACGCGACTACCACGAGTAATTAAAAGACGCTGGCTCAGAAGACAAAAACATCATTTTAGCGCTGGGCATCGCGGCGGCGAACTATCTTGAAAGTTTACGATCGCGCCATCTCTCATTTCTCATCTCATTGCGCAGCGTCTGCGCCGAAAGTACGAATGTGAATAAGTGAAGAGCTCATGTTGGGCGCTCCACCTTGGGTGGGAAATGTTAATCATAAAAGTAAAAGTGAAATATTACGGGTCGAGCAGTCAGCAGCGCTGGCTTCGTTGGCCGCCTCGCATTTGCATTTCGCACATGGCAGTAGCGGCAGCAACTGCACCAGCTGGCAGCCAGAGGGAACCCCAGTCGTCGATTATGAGCAGAGCAACAGCCAGCGGCAGTTCGATTGCCCACGCGGACTACACAGGAAGAAATGCTGATTTGGGGGAAGCACCAATTGGCTGTGCTCACGCCCGTGCCACGTTCAACTTGCGAAGTGTTTCGGCACTTCCAGCATGTGCTGGTGCTCGGTGCCATAAGAACCGCATTCATTCTCGCAGTGTACGTGTACCACCGACCCCTTCGACTTGGGTTCATTTGCGGGGGCGGGAGCGAGTCAAGGCGTGGCGTGACCGCCATTTAAATTCAGTCTCTGCTGTCCGTCCGCTTCACAATGCACGACGCGTTGCAGAGCGAACTCAACGTGATTGACACTTGACAGGGCCCCAAGAAGTTAATGGAAGCCCCAATTGAGTCTCCCCCTCTTGGAGTCATAGAGAGAGCTGGTTGCGCCGGGCCAGCTATTCTAAGCTTGACAGGGAGCGGGGCCACCTGGGTTGGAGCTGCAACAATGGATGTAAGTCCATGATAAAGTGCTTTCTGTATGCAAAAGACATCACTCCCTGCATGACTCGAATCAAATGGAACCATAATTGCAGACTGCATTTCAACACCCGTCCCGAAACCGCTGTTATGCGACGCCTATGACCGTAACAATGGGCTATGCTCGAGATGAATGGCTTGGCTACCGCCACTTACTCATCGCCACACATCTTGGATCGCGTCAGTGACGTAATCCCCAACGGCGAGCGGTGGCCTAAAAGACGCGCTGCTGTCCAAATTTACACATACAAAATTTACAAACTGATAACAAATCAGTCGAAGTCTGCCAACCGGAGGGGCAGGACCGTCTTAAAAGAGCCCAATCCTTCAACTGCGAGCAGGTACTCCTGAAAGTCTGCACAGTCTAGTTTCGGGAGTCGTTTTAAAGTTCTAAACTTACTTCGTCGATTACTTAGCGAAATATGCTTTCTTTTTGGTAGATAGAGCAATTTTCAGGACTTATCTTCTTTAGGGATTTTAGATAGTAATTTTTTTCGAGCTCGGGATCGGTTTAAGTACGTAGATATGATCGAGATTGGAACAGTTTTTTGTTTACCTAGTTTGACTTAAACAGTTTTTTATTTGCTCCGTAAGAAATTCAAAATAGCGAAACGCTTTTTAGCATTGAAATACTAATGAAAGTGAAGCCTACCTAAACGCTTTCGAGGGTAATTCTTTGTCGACTGTCCCAAATTGTAGTGCATTCTATTCGATTTCTATGAGTATTATAAATATTATGTTTCATTTTTGTATTTTTTATCGATTTGATCGCAAAATGTAACACCTAGGAAGTAAAAAATATAAAAAAAATAAAACCGCTTTGTCTTGCGAAGTAAATTTCAATTTAAGAAACTAAGGAGAAGGAGAAACATCACCATTAACTTGTGCAAGAACATAACACCATGTCAAGTCCGATGGTTGATCAGGGTGGGCAAATCATCCCAGTTAAAGCCGATAAAACAAATAGTGAGAACTGCTTTTGAACGGACTCCAACATAAATTGGTAGATTGCAGTTTTCGGTAACCAAGTACAGTAAAATTACTCCAACGATGAAAGAATCTATAAACTCCTTGGACAAAAGCTTTTTGCATACCAGCATGGCTTCCGTCTGTCCGTAAGAACACTTTCGTCACGAGACTCGGGACTAGTAACGCTAAACAGTTGATTCTAGTGACTCCTACGCTATGCAAGTTTATTTCATAACGTTGCCACGCCCATGCTAACGACCACAGGACTCCACGACATGACCTGCGCGACTTGGCTCATCATCCTAATCAAGAGTGTACGTAATAGGGTCGAAATCGCTTCCTTCTGCGTGAAAAATACTTTTCAACGAATCTATGACACTCCCTTTACTTTTGAAACAGTCGTAGAGAAGCCGGTCGTAGCTATTAAAATTAAATATAGTTTTTGTGCAGTAAACATTTTTTTTAGATTTTTTATTGAGAAAAAAAAACACATTTTATTAATTGAATATATTAAACTAAATAGGCTCAGTCTCGAAGTATTAAGCAATACAGAAGAAACACAATTTTTTATACCCATCGGGAAATATTTAAATTAATAACAGAATATGGCTAGATCGACTCGACTACTGATCCTGACTGAGAATAAATATACATCAGTTACCAAAAAGGCTTTCTTTTAAATGCTACATATTTTTAAATAATCCTGTATTGCCATTTACCTTTTACTGGCCACACCTACAAAGAATGTTATTAATTATTTTTATTTCATCATATGTCTGGCAAGTTTCTGTCGACTTCCCTAATTTTTTTGACCACGGCCTCCAAGGCCAACTAATTAGTGCTGGTGTGCATTCTTACTTTGATGGCTTATTGCATTTAGTAACACAGTTTCTGCAACCATTAAATAAATTTTATTTTATCCTGTGCTGGCATTTTCCCCTTTTTTCACATTTCCCCATTTTTTAGTTCTTTTTTATGTTCTCTGCTACATCCTTGACACAAAGACGTTAAAAAAATGAAATTTAATTGAATTTCAATCATGCATTAGAAATACTTGTTGTGCACTTGTCCCGATTATTGGCAGGAATCCGTTTTGCTGACCGCCAAGTTTTTGGGACAGGGTGCATTCCCTCGCGAGTTGGCCAACACAATAGAAGTGGCTCGAATTTGGGCGGGAGTACCGAGGAACAGGCGCGAAGCGATGTAGTTGGCCCCGTCGAGTTGAAAGTGAAAGTTTTGCCGAGCAGAGAGCAGCGATTTGCCTCGACGAGCAAAGTCTCGGTTAGCCACCCAGAGCTCCATTATCAGCCGCAATAATAGCGGCGGACGTGAACTTTAGCGGGCGCGTTTGTGTTGAAATGCAATTTACAATTTACTTAATTGTTTCTTACAGCTTTTAGTCTGCAAATTTTCTTTTATTAATGACTTATTGGCTTGCCGTTAGTGTGGCTGAGGCGTATGAGTAATATCATGGCCAACGCCCGATCAGAAAATTACCATTACCATTACCATTACCATTTACCATTTGGTTTGGTAATCGTCGCATTGAGCGCTCGCAGAAAGCGTTACCTAAAAAAATTGTTCTTGGTCAGCACAGCAGGTTGAACTGTGGTAGGTTTTCTATACTATTACACTCTATATCTTTACCTCTTATTTGGCATTTCACTTTTTTGGTTCATTTAATGTAAACTGTGAGAGCGTATACTTCATTTTTTAATGTTGAACTTTCCTGCTTCCTTGGCCTAGAAAATTCATGATTTTTGGCAACACATTTTTTCTCAGGAAACAACGCTATCGCATCGATTCCGCGACAGTGCAAATTGAACAGTTTTTTCTCACTCCAGCGTAGCAAACGAAAGTTGCAATTTTATTTGGTGTCTCGCTTTCTGAGCCCAACGCACTCAGCATCACGCAAATGCAGTAAAACTGAAGTGGAGCAGCCATCCTAGCCTGTAAGTAGTTTACTTGAGAACACGCGAGAAATCTGTCTATCCAGATCTGTTAATCGAGATCATCTCTGCGTGCCGGCGAGGAGAACCTATTTTCCCAATGGCAGGCAAATGTGAGGGTGAGATGATTACACTGCGACAAATAGCCTTTTATTAGATTGATAGGATTTTATTGAACCCGATACACAGTTTCCAAATGCGGGCACATTTTTTAGGTAACTAAATACTTTAAAACCGTGGGCATGTGTAACACTAAGTTTCAAAACGCGTATTTCAAATTAGTGTTTGCGTTTTTTAACAGATATATAGTCGCCTGCATTGAACTTCTGCTTTCCACTGATAGTTGACCTTTAAAGTCTTTCGTTACAAAGACAGCTTATCGTCAGCTCATTTCGGAAAGAAAACTCTTTAAGTTATTTTAATACATTTATTACAAATATTATTATTAATTGTCACAAATTTGATACGGAAATTTGTGGATACCAAAAGTTTATGGGACAAACAAAAAACAAGAGAGAATGCTATAGTCGAGTTCCCGATTATAAGGTACCCGTTACTCAGATAGTGGAAGTGCAAACGAGAAATTTCCAAATTTTCTGAAATATTGGTAAAAAGTATTGGGCGCGAATAGTATGCTCTTTCGACGAGCTTGAAAATACCCTTTGATTCAGATATGGCTGGGATCGTCCATTTTAGCAGATTTCCAATTTTATGGCTCTATATCTACATTGCAGACCGCGCTCTTCATGCTCATAGTCACTACTTCAACTGAAATCCACAAACTTAAAAAAAAAATTGATTGATCTGTACGTATCTTTCAAACTCAGAAAAAGTTATAATGTTTTAAAACCGTTCTCACCAGATTTTGTTAAGTGTACATAATCAATCGAAGCATTTTACTAAATAAGTAATCGCTTTATCTTTGCAGCGTCCGCCAATAGATTAATAATGGCAAAGCCACGCTGCTCCGGATGGCAATCCTTTATTCTCTTGGTCTGTTTGCCAGGCTGTATATCCCTATCGCGGGTCGACGAAGGCCGTATCCCGAGCGTAACCGGAAAACCAGCGCTGATCCGGACGGAGCTCCGCTTTGGCCGGAACCTAGACCCTTCTAAGGTACGAGTGGTGAACGTGAAGTCCAGCATGGGCGAGGATATAGAGATCCTGGTCGGCAAAAATAGCCGCAAGGCACGCGCTGAGGATGCGGCTGGGTCCTTTTTCGTGCGCAGCTCGGATGTCAAGCGACGCCTCATCCCGCCCACGGGCAAGACAAACGCTAGTGGTCGCCAGCTCACCTTCGAGCACAGCCCGGCGTTACTAAAGCAGAATGAACTGGCCCAGCAGATGGGCGCCTATCGCCAGCGCAAGGCAGATGCCGAGCAGCGCCACGCTAAACTAATACAGCTGCAGCTGGCCAAAGCGCAGAGCAAGGTGATAGAGCACCAGGCAGCGCAGGGGGACTCCCGTCGTGGACGCCAGCTCGCTGCTGACGTGTCCTGGCAGCCCGTGCGGCCTCAGTTTCCGATCCAGACACAACAAATTTCCCGCAAGAACGATTCGTGGGCAGCAGATCGCCTGTGGCAACCTTTCGGGCTGGAGGATTCGGTGGAGATCCTGCCACGATTGCAGCGAATGTCGCATGGACCTGTGTTCAGCTTTCCCAGGGACATGGAGTTCGCCGCTTCCGACGTGCAGGAGTACTTAGCGGGCGAGAGGGATACCCGGGCCTATGGCAGCAGTGCGTCCAATCAGGGATACCGGCCCCAGAACCTCATCACTAAACACAACTACAACTCCCTCCCGCCAAGGTCTAAATACGTGACCTACTTGCCGCACTCCGTGGTAGTGACGGCAAGTGCGGGAGTCGCCACGCCCACGACCACCACCACGCTGCGGCAGACTGGCGGCCACGGGAGCCCAAGCCACAACCCAATCGGCCAAAGCACGCAAAGTGTTGTGGACGGTCCCGCTGTGACGCTGATCGAGGGTGTCCGAGTGCCGGACAGCGCGGAGGACAAGGTGAAGACCTGGCGCAACGCTCGTGTTCTGAACAATCAGTTGGTGCCATATCCAGAGGGTTACACGCCGCCGCGGGCCCAGATGCCCAGTTTCGACCGATAGGTGCGGAGTTGATCAGAACAACTGGTGTTGGGTGCTCAACGGTTATTGCTATTTATTGAATTGTCTATTGTTAAGCTATTTATAAACGTTGATTTCAAGTTGTCAAGGAAGACGTGCCTGTCTATCTCATAAAGTCGTTGACGGTTAGCACACGGAGGTCCGACTTGCGCAAAAGGCGGGCGCACAAGGGTGCGTCGAACGTCAGGTAGATGACGTGCATTGGCGCGGTCTGCATAAATCCGTTCTCGGAGAGGGTGTAGCGGTATGGCTTGAGCAGCTCCAGGTACACAAACACGGCGGGGCGCTTCACCTGTATGCTGATGCTGACGCTGTTGCGGATGAAGTCCGTGGTGTTGAGACAGGTTCGGGAGGCAATCTCAAACTGCGTAGTTAGATATTAGGAGTATTAGTTAGGCAGGCATTCCAGAGCTGGGCTTACTCACCTCGAGCCCTGGATCCTCGATCCCGACTGCTCCGGCAATGCTACTGGGAAAGAAGTGGGTCCTAGAGATCACATTCTGCCCTCGGCGCAGCTGCAGCTCCATAAACGCGTTAGTTCTGGAAAACTCTCCTTTTAGCAGATCGGAGATGCCAATGACCTTATCGTACTGCACGCCATTGGGGCGGAGGGTAACATCCCATGAGATGGATTGCCGAGGCAGAAGCTTGGACCACAGGTGAACGTTAGCCACAACATTCAGATTCCTTGGGTCCACCTCTAATTGGTCACAAATAAGAGAGATGTTTAACGAATCCGTGGACTTTTCGTAGAGGGCAACGATTGAAATAGGCGCTAAAAAATCACGTGCCCAGTAATGGAGCAGCTGAAGGAAGAGAAGTCAGCTTAAAATAGTTAAACACTTTCATCAGGTAAAGATATAACTAAAAGTACGCTTTTTATAGTTTTTGAAGTCCATTGGTCTATTCATAGGTCACTAAAAACAACATTGCAGCTATTAGAACACGGAGATCGTAAATACATGCGGACAGGCAGACGGACTGGCAAAGGAAAATCCTTGTATCTTTCAAAGAATCTAGTGTATACTTAAACCCTTGCAGAGCGTTTACTGATTTCAGTCAGAAACTTGCAACGCAGTGAAGGAGACATATAAAGCAGAGAAAAACAGCAGCCGGTCGATATAGCTATGTCCATCTATCTGCATGAAAATTAATGGAAAAGAGTAAACGCTATATTCGACTATGAGATACCAGTTATTCGGCTAGGGCGGTAATGAAAAGTTTCAAGAACAGAAACAATTTCAAAAGGTGGCCGTGGCAGTTTGGACGGATACGGCCAGATTGATCCTGGTCTAGAATATATAAGCTTTGTAAAACGGAAACGGAAAGCAGAAACGCTTTTATACGACTAACAGGTATTCAAATTTGACCTTCCTTGTTTTTCATGATAAAGTGTAATCCAGTCTTATGACCATATATAATTTCGGTTTCAAATTGATTTTAATTTGTCAAAGGAATTATAATTATTATTGCAAGGGTATAATTCTGCAGGGTATTGGTATACCCGTTACTCTTAGGGTAAAATGGTATAATAGATTCGTTGAAAAGTATGTAACAGCAGAGGGAAGCGTTTCCGACCATATAAAGTATATAATATATATTATTGATCAGGATCAATGGCCGAGTCGAATTGGCCATGTCCGTTTGCCTGTCCGTTCATTTGTCCGTATAAACGCCTTGATCTCAGGAACTACAAAAGCTAGAATGTTGAGATTAAACATGTAGCTTCTAGAGATATAGACGCAGCGCAAGTTTGTTTCCAAATGCTGCCACGCCCACAAACCGCCCAAAGTGGTCGCAGCCACACTTTAGAAAAATCTTGTAAATTTCTATAGATTTGCCAAAATACTTTTTGCCACTTTTAAATTTTTTTAAAGTTTTTTTTCATTTAATTATTTTTTGCCAATTTCTACCGATATTCCAGAAAATTTTGAAATTTCTCGCTTGCACTTCCATTATCGTATCTGAAGGTCGGGGAACTTGACTATAGCATTCTATCTTGTTTTCATTTTTTTATTTTTTCCCCAATTTCTACCTAATAGTATGCATACTAGCGGTAATGCTGCGGTAGAATAGGTGCTATGCAATTACAGCTTACCTTCCAGTTGCCGTAGAAATCAATGCTGGACCAGGATGGTGCCACCCATACGTCATTCAGCTGCCAGTAAAGGGCCCCCATCGTTCTGTGGGGCGTGTCCCGAAGGCTACGGTATAATTCGGTTTCCACCTTTGTGGCCATTGCTTGAGCAATCTGGCTGAAGTAAATCAGTGCTGTCGCATAGTTCTCATCCTCCGGCAAGGGCAGCGGTAGGTGTCTCTCCACTAGTGCGATTACAGGAGCATTTCCCAGCGGATGGTGTTGCCGGTGTCTGATCAGGGCGAGAAGGTCATCGTCGTCGCTCTTGCTGCGCTGCCATGCGTATCCGCCGGGAAAGCTTTGAAAGCCGAACTCACTGACGAATCGAGGACGTGGAAAAATATCTGGATCCCAGCCGTCCTTAGTGTAGTCGTAGAAATGTACTGAGAGAGAAATCATTTTATGGGCTGCATAATGAATAGGGGCTCTGCTCACCATCGCCATTGTGGTTATCCTGAGGGTTGTTGGAAATGTAGTTGTCTGGTTCACTAGCTTTGCCATTGGAGGGCGAGGAGACCAGTGGCTGGGGTCGAGAGCTATGCGAAACAAGCTTCAACTCGTGGATGACATTAGCCAGGTAGAGCTCCCGGTACTCGCTCTCAAATCGATCCCTTTCGAATAGCGTGCCGTACCAGTTCTGTACCAAAGCAGCTTCGTTTTCGTTGTTGGTCACAAAAATGGCCACGCTGGGATGGTGTGATAGCCGCAAGGCATTCTGGCGAACCTCCTCACGCACCGACGATAGGAAATCGTCACCAACCGGGTACATGGCACAAGCAAACATCATATCTTGCCAAATAAGAATACCCAAGCTGTCGGCGAGCTGGTAAAAGTAGTCCGATTCGTAGACTCCGCCTCCCCAGACACGAAGCATGTTCATATGGGCTTCCTTGGCGGACCTTAATAATTGTGCAACTTTGGATGACCAATTGAAATAAGAGAAAAGGCTATAGTCGCGTTCTTCGATTATTAGAGTTCCCAGACTATTAGATATCCGTTACTCAGCTAGTGGAAGTGGGAACGAAAAAATCAACATTTTTATAATAAAATGCAAAAAAAAATTAAATATTGTTTTAAAAGTGTGGGCAGTTTTGGGTGGTTTGTGGGTGTTAGAGTGGGCCTGGCAACATGGATCATTAAACTTGCATTCTTAATCTAAACCTTATAGCTTTTAGTTCACGAGATATCGACGTTCATACGGACGTGCAGACAGAGATCCGTTCCAGCTTGCTACCTGTACTAGAAAGAAGACTTTATGACCGAACTACAAATCGAATCGGTTGTTGATACTCATCAAGAATATAAATATATTCTTTATATGCTCGCAATATACCATATGGATGGGTTTCAAAATTATTTAGGTTGGTATTATTATAGTTGTCGTATGAATTATAAGGTTATACTTGAAAAATTTATATAATATTTGGATGTGTATGTGTTTGGATTGTCCTTCGCGCTTGAAAATTGTTATTAGATTAATTAGACAGATCGCGACGCATTATTTATTTAATACTATGTTATAGTGTACAAAATTTATGGTAATGCTTACATTTGGATGGTTACTTTCACTTTCAAAGGATATTATTAGATTTGAGAAATAAGATACAAATTTAAAATAATTATTTATTTTGACAAATAACTAAAACTTTAAGATTAAAATCAATTTAATTTATGCTTGCCAAGATCAAGCTTATTTTAAAAATTGGGCGTGTAAATTTTCACCTAAATCGTTCAGAGAAAAAGGACCTTAATGTTGGAAAAATTCAGTTTTTTTCACTATTGAACTCTAATAATAGGCAATATAATATTTGATCAGCTATCGTATGCGAATTTCCGTTTAACAGTTATTAGCAACAGAGAAGATTAAAATGGTCGAAAGATGAATAAAGCTACGGGTACTTTTTTAGACAAATCTATAGAATTTTACAATATATACATATTTAAAAATGAGAAAATATCACATTTTCACGGATTGCGGGCGTTAGAGTGGGCGTGGCAAAAAGTTTTTAGGCAAATCTGTAGAAAATTTTCAAGATATATAAAAAATGTAATATTATCACATTTTTCAAAAGTGTGGGCGTGACAGTTTAGGACGGTTTTTGGGCTTTGCGCTTCGTCTATGTCTCTGTAAGCTGCAAGCTTAATCTCAACATTCTAGCTTTTGCAGTTCATGAGATCGAGGCGCCTATACGGACAGACGGACTTGGCCAGACCGACTCGGCTATTGATCTTGATCAAGAATATATATACTTTATATGGTCGGAAACGTTTCCTTCTGCCTGTTACATACTTTTCAACGAATCAAGTATACCATTTTACTCTACGAGTAAGGGGTATACTTTTAAATTACTCAAATCTAATGATTATTAATATAAGAAACTAAAAACCTTAAAAATAAAAATCATTTGAAGATGAAAACCAGATATGTTAAGTTTTGGGTAAATCCGCATTGGATTCACCAATCAACATTAATTGTTATTTCCATCTTAAAGTTAAGCTATTTATTTATGATATGTACTTACTCTGTTCCTTACTCTGTCTTTCTGGTAAAATGTGGGATGGTATGTAGTTACTGCCTTTCATAAACATTTCTACCCCATTAACTCGGAAGAGGAAGGTGTTTCCGAAGCCGTCTGGGGCGGGATCCTCGACCAGCTCAAGCGTACGAAAACCCACCCGAAGCGACTTGTGTGACTTGGTCTTAGAGCGAACCTCGGGTACATCAGATCCCAGCCAGGTTTTCAGGGTGAAGTGGAGCGGATACAGTTTCTGCTCCCCGTAGCCATTGGGCCACCAGGTTACGACTTTCTCCTGCGAGGTGATAACGGCACTTGACACAAATATGCACAGCACAAATTCGTGTCAATGTAATTAGCAGGCGGTACTTACAATTGGCACGGCCTGATCGAACTCAATTACTGGCGCCAAGTGGCTGATCTTTTTAATTGCGGATCTGTCTACTACTACCGGATGGTCCAATAGCTCGCTGCAACCCATAATGTCCGTGAATAGGACGTTTAACGTGCGTTTAACGGCAGCGTGCTCACTTACACAGCATATAGGACAAGCCTTCCGTTAAAGTTTTGCCCACCCACCGCGTCCAGGTAGCAGCGAATATGCATGTTCCAGTGCGAGCCGTTGATGCGGTTGACGTCCACATCTACCTCACGAATCACCGCCACCTCGTAGATTTCCAGCTCCACGTTTTTCCAGATTCCAGCAGAGGGGGCTGCGGGACCCCAGTCCCAGGAAAAGCTAGCCTGCATCTTCCGCAGCATGTTCATGTGGCACTCCCCATGGTAGCGCTCGTTGGGGCATTCGGGAGGTACGCTCTTTTTAGATTCTTTCAAAGCATTAGCCCTCGCCAAAGCAGCAACTACGGGGGATTGGATCTCCACTTCCAGAGAGTTTTCCGCTTGGAGCAGTGAACTCACTTCGTAGGAGTAGCGCACAAACATGTTGTCCGTGCGTCCTAGCAGCTGATGATTCAGCCGGATTTCCGCCACCGTGTCAATGCCGTGGAAAGTCAAGTTGATGTGGCCGCGATTAAAGTGATGGACGTCGACTAAGTCGGGCATTATCAGAAAAAGATAGAGGCAAAACCGAAATAAATTCTTAAATGTTCTTTTTATTAAGTTCTTAATTAAAAGTGAGTTTTTAATTCGTTAAAAAGCTGTCAGTAATCAGGATCTATTTTGTCCAATGATCAACTAACTATTTATAGTCCCAAAAACCTCTTATTTTGATTGTTTCTATGTTTTTATATATTAAACCCACTTAAATAAAGATTGTCAAAAGTTATGGTAAAATACGGATAAAAGGCATGACTGGCTATCGACTTAAGCTAACAATTAAATAGGAGAAGCTTAGTCTTTAAAACTCATAAATCATATCAGTCAGATAAACAAATATATTTGGTTTTCCCGTCGTTCGACTTCTTTTATTTTGTAACAGCGATGTAAAGACGTAAAGAATCGTGCTAAAACTTACACTGAAAGAAATTAGAGAACGTCCAGTTCTCGTAGGCCAGATAACGCAGGTCGACGTCATTGTAGGAGTCCAGCACTTGGGGTGCAAAGGCACTGTATATGCCCAAGGGCAACGTTTGGTTAGCAATAGCCAGGGCTGTGGGGAAAGGCATCAATTAAACTGTCTATAAGAAATTGCTTTCCTTCAGCGCACATATGAATGTATGCTTTTCGTTGATTGGCCTTTCTTCTTTAAATTATTTCAAACAACTTAAATTATCGTTGATAATTGAAATCGTCGATTATTGATAAAGCGAACTACTTTTGCTGCAGATCTGAATTAATTGTACTCACAGCCATTCTGATTACTTATCGTCCAATTGCCCAGCTCTATTACTTCCACCTTATCACCTTGGCCGCCGTAAACAAAAAGACCACAAAGTAATCCGACCATAACAGCGTCCCCCCTGGTGCCACTTCCAAATAATCCGCATACATACTTCATCTGGAAAGCGGTGGTCGTCCCAAATTATTGGGGCTATTTTAAACACGGCTCCCCTGTTCCACAGAAAGCAAAACGAGAAGTTGTCCACCGACTCACAGCCACAAACAACGAATGTTTCGTTTCGTCCGGCGATTCAGAACCGATCGTTGAAGCGGCTAGTGGAAGTGCGTCTCTCTCAAAAGCAGAGAGGAACGCATCGATATCGATAATGAAATCAGTTTCAACGTAACGATCCTCTGCGCACATCAGCTGTTACTCAGAATATCGTGTTCAAAGAGAGCCCGCTTAAATATACATACATATGTATAAAAATTAGTGTCAAATATGTTTTGTTTATGTCGAGCATTAGTACAGAATTTACGGGGTAACATACATATTTAAAATTAATATTCCCGGACGAGCATTTTACACTGCTATGATGCTACAGCGCTGATTAATTATCGTGGCATAAAAATGGGGTTTCCACATTTTTTGTTGTTGATTTTTCAAAAACGACTTGAAAAATATATTTTATTTGTAGAGCTTATACCTATTTCTAAATTTCCCTATTCAAGACATCTGACACAATTTTGAGTAATGCATTTTGTATACTTTCTAGTATACCCCTATACACAAGTATACAAATTTCCTTTGGTTGTAAAGTCATAAGACTGTTTAAAATTTTTTTTCCCGATGTGGTTTTGAACCCATTGGGTTTACCTTGTGAGCAAATTAAATGCAAAAGGCCGGAGCAGTCAGCTGTTGCGAGGTGCTCCTGAGTTGCAGACGAGAAGTGTTGCTGTCTTGCCAGTTATTATTCAAACAATTGTAAAGTTAGGCCTAGTATTCGGGCACAAAATGGGAATCCAAAACGAAAAACTTCATATAAGAAAAACGGTACAACATTTTTGGTGGCAAAATTTTTGTCGAATTCTTTGGTAGCAGTAGTATTCAAGCCGCCAAAAAATACTAAATACCGTTCAAGAATATGTGATTTTATGTATTTCTTAAGCTATCGAACAGTCTCGATAGACCGCCGCGTTTTGTTTACTAATGCTGCAGCAACAGCAGCTACTATTGCATTAGTTTCCATTTTTTAAATTACAATGTCCATGTATAGATTTGAGTTCTTAATAGTTATGTTTTTTAGATTAGCCTGTGAGCCCCTATCGTTAAACAAAAATAATACCAAATTTTTTGTGAATACTGTGACACTTGAACAGGCCAATAAATATATGGCTGATCATGGTATATTATTTTTGGGTCAGTTTCTTTTAGCCTGTGTATAAGCAAAGACACTAGAATAATTATTCTAGTCTTTGGTATAAGTGTCAAACAAAAACCCCTTTGCGAGGTAAAAGACAAGACAGAATGCTAAGTCGAGTTCCCCGACTATCAGGTACCCGTTACTTAGATAGTGGAAGGTGAACGAGAAATTTAAAAATTTCTGGAATATCGGTAGAAATTGGGAAAAAACTAATAAAATGCAACAAAATTTAATTTAATTTAATTTAATTGACTTTTGTGCGGATTATGGGCGTTAGAGTGGCTGTGGCAAGATCATTTATCAAATTTGCGCTACGTCAATGTCCCTAGAGTCTAATCTCAACATAGCTTCTATAGTTCCTGAGATCTCGACGTTCATACGAACTGACAGAAGGACATGGCAAAATCGGCTATTGATACTAATCAAGAATATATATACTTTAATATACAGTACTAACTAAACCTAAAGTTATAGTACTAAATACTGTTCTGATGTCAACTTTTGTCATGAGAATGTACTTATTCGATACGCAGCAACAGATAATGAACGATAATTTAACTGTACGTTTCTATGCTCTTAAAAAATGTTTAGAAATCAGAATTTCAAATATAATTTTTATAGATGTTATGCAGATTTATTTTGATTTATTACCAACAATTCAACGATTCTGCTATACCTTTTACACTGCTTCAAACGGTGCAAAAACTTGTCCTGCAGTGGATACTATGAAAAATCGTAAAATATATGTTTTACAGGTGTCGTCTAGAACCTCGTGCCATTTTGAAATCAATTATTTTTGGAATGGTTTTAGCTAATGGAGACAGTACTCTTAATCTTAAATAGCTGAAGAATATTCACCCCCAAAAACTAACTTTATTTTTTGTTCTGTTTGCCTGTCCGTTCGTATGAAAAATATTACGGGGTATAAAATAGTTAGTAAGTTCGTATTTGTTACGCTATTGCAACGAATGCTCGCCTCACGCCCATTTCAACTCCCACAACAAATTATAATAATATTTCCATTTTTGAAATAAAATTAAAAATAAGCTAAAACCAGAGGTATTTTTGTAATAAAATAATATTGAAGTATAGTTTTAAGCGGTACCCATTAATTAACCCAAAAAATATTAAAATCAATAATTCTCAGGATATATTTTTATAGATATATTTTATAGGGTATACTAAATAAGTTTAAAAGTATATAAAAGGCAAAAGAAAACGTTTCCGACCATATAAAGTATATACATACATATATTCTTGATTAGGATCAATAGCCGAGTCGAACTGGCCATGTCCGTCTGTCTGTTCCTTCGTCCGTATAAACGTCAAGATCTCAAGAACTTTAAAAGATAGAAAGTGGAGATTTAGTATGCAGCAACCAGAGACATAGACGCAGCTCAAGCTTGTTTCCAAATGTTACCACGCCCACAAACAGAAAAAAATTCCATGCATACACTTTTAAAAATGTTTTGATATTTTTTCATTTTGTATATATATGTATATCTTGTAAATTTCTATGTTTTCCAAAAAAATTTTGCCACGCCCACAAGCCGCCCAAAACTGTCACACCCACACTTTTTAAAAATGTGATATTTTTTCATTTTTTATATACATATATATATGTATATATTTATATAGTATATGTATATAGTATATACTCGTTTAATTTTTGTCATGTCCGTCCGTATGAACGTCGGGAACTCGACTCGATTTTTTTAATATAACATGTAAGGCCTGCGGTTCCTAATAAAATCGATTTTTTAAGTATGTTCAGCAATAGGTATATTTTTTATTTTATATATGCAGCCATTTTGACTTAGTAAAACTTAGTTCATATTAAATACTGATTTATCGTTTGAACTTTTATGTGATCGGTAGTTAAAGTCATGCACTCTAAATCGCTTTCAAACACTAGGTGAATCGTCTTTTGTGGCTGGGTTTGAGTAAAGCCATTTGCCGAGAACTTGTGCCGCTCCTTGACATAATTCGGATGTGATAGCTGAAGGTATACAAGTAGAGCCGGATATCTCACAGTGATGCGCAAACTAAAACTATTTGCATAAGGATATGTTGCCGCTTTGCAGTCTTGACCTGTAACCTCTAGCTGTAAAAAGTAAATAGAAAATATTTTCGGTTTCAGAAAAAAGTGGCTTAAAATAAATTGTTCTACTGTATGGTGGTTACTCACTGTTAGTTCTGGATCTTTAATGCCAATAATATTTTTAAAGGTCACAGGGTAAAAAAAGTTTCTAGCCACTGAGGTGCCGTATTCGTCCTCCAAAATTATTTCTAAAAAAAGTTCTTCCTTCAAATGTTTTTCGTACAGCAAGTATTCCAAAGGTATTTGCCGTAACTCAAGGCTGTTGGAGCCCTGTAAATTGAGTTCTTGGTATATGATATTATTGGCAATAGCATGTCTTGTGTTTCTCACCAGTACAAAAGCGCGAGCTACAGTCTTCTTGGCAATCAAGTCCGTCCATAGATAAGTGTTTACCAGCACATAGTATAACTGCGAGTCCCTTTGCTCGGAGAAGTCCTCCCTTGTAAGCGTGATATTGAGGTTGTATGAGTTATTGTCGTACAGAGCAATAACACTTGTTGGGGCTAAAAGTTCCTCGGCCCAGTAGTATAATAGCTTAGGGTTTCCGTAGAAGTCGATGCAGGACCAAGTTGGAGCCACCCAAACATCGTTTAACTGCCATATAAGAGCGCCCATTGTATGGTTTCCTGTGCGAAGGCTACGAAACACTTCCATCGCTGTTTTAGTCGCCATGGCTTGTGCAACTTGACTAAAATATATGAACTTATCGATATTTTCGTCCCAATTCTGCGGAAAAAACGGAAGGTGATAGGCAATTAATTGGAGTATTGGATTGAATCCTTTAGGATCGTGCTGACGGCTTCGAATAAGTCTTGCAATTTCATGGTCGCCATCATCTGCGGAATCCCCTAGTGCCCGTTGCCACGTGGACTTTATTGGAAGGCTAGCGTAACCGAATTCCGAAACGAATCGAGCGTGAGGATACGTCTCAGGGCTAAAACCCTTGTCGTCCCAAAAGTGCACTAAAATAAAAAAATATTTGGGTTATTAATAATTGGCAAGAAAAATATCGAACAAACAAATTTAAAATGTGGGCGTAGCAGTATTGTTTAGAATGCAGTCAGAGATCGACTTGGCTATTGATCCCGATCAAGAATATATATATACTTTATATGGTCGGAAACGCTTTATTCCACATGTTATTCAATAGTATACCCTTTTACACTACGAGTAACGGGAATAAAGAGAAAACGTTTTAGTCGAATGCCACGACTATAAGATACCCTAAGATTGCACACTAAGTGACATTACATTATCTTTAAAAATTATGTTTTTGTAAGCTTGCGATACAAATTTAATTTATTTGTAAGGTCGACGATATACCAACTATTATTATGATAGCCAACAAAAATAAGCGTTTTAATAATGCTTTAGAAACATTCGGATAATTTACATTCGGATATTTTGTTAATAGGTTAATTTGGACCATATATATGAAACCCTTTGAAGCTAAATAACAAAGATTCCCATGTGAGTTAAATTCATGAACTGCCATATTTTGCATTTATACTTTAAAAGTAAAAAATATAACTAATAATTTTTCCGCTAACAGCCAAATTAAGAACAAAATTTGTCTCCTTGCTCTGCTGAATTTTGAGTATGCAATATTTGATAACCATCTGAAGAGCAGACTCACCATCGCCATAGTTCAAACTTTGTGGGTTGTCGGAGAGGTTTTTGCCAGACTCCTGGTCACCTAGCGAAGGCGTAGAGGCCACGGGGTCAGGGCGACGGCTGAAATCCTTTCGAGAGATAACTTTTAGCTTTGGAATAATTGTGTCAATAAAGAAGGCTTTATAATCGCTCTCCGTTCGGGTGGCATTTTCGCCAAAATCAGATTTGTTGTTCGCCAGAAATAGCTTAATCTCATTGTTGGTAACGATTAGGGCTAAGCTGGGATGATAAGAAAGACGCTGTGCATTCTGTACTATCTCCACGCACACAGAAGCTACAAAGTCATTTGCTAGCGGGAATGCAGCTTGGGAAAACGCCAGATCCTGCCACACCAACAACCCGTAAAAGTCCGCTAAGTTGTAGAAGGTATCCGACTCATAAAGGCCGCCACCCCAAACGCGTATCATGTTCATGTTGGCCTCGTGTGCGGCCTTAAGCAAATAGGTGACTGAAGCGGATTAAGAATAATAAGCAATTTAATTTCTTCAAGCATTAGGTGCGTACTTACCCGCATCAGCATCAGCCGATAACTCCGGAAGTGTGTGGGCTGGTACATAGTTCGCTCCTTTCATGAATATGGGGTGGCCATTCACCCGGAAAAAGAAGGTTTTTCCAATTTCTACTTTCAATAAGATTAGAACCAAAAAACAAGGAGAAACGTTATAGTCTAGGTCCTTGAAAAGAAGACTTTACCGAAACATCACCTACAGGGATTTTTAAGTCATGGATGTCAGAGTGACGTGTTGTTCTACAGGATATCCATAGAAATTAGAGAGATACATTAAAAACAAGGGAGAACGCTATAGTCAAGTTTCCTGGCTATCAGATACCCGTTACTTAGCTAGTGGAAGTGCCATAGAAATTTGAATATCGATAGAAGTTGAGGTGAGTTCAAAGCCAAACACATGCTTTTGGTAATTTACCGAGCATACTCGAGAGAAACTGCGATTCCGCTTTTCAATAACGGTTTAGGCTACTGAGAGAGCGAGTCATTTTTCAAATAGTCGTAACAATAAATTTATATTAAATGGGCTTATTTTGCATTATATAAATAGTTCAAGGATTTTAGGGTCCTAAACCAGCGTTTGGAGTGTTGTTCAAGCGAGTGTTTTTAAAGTGGAGTGTAGTGTCGTGTTTTTAATTTTGTGAAAGTGGTTAGAAATTAAGGAATAATATTTACACAAAATATTATAATAATACAATTGAAAACAAACAAAAAACATTTAATTAGGGAAGTTGTGGACGTTAGATTGGGCGAGGCAATTAAGCAGTGTCTAAATATCTGAAATATGCATGCTTAGTCATTATCTTCTGGCTTTTATAGTTCCTGAGATGATCAACCTAAAGTACATTTTTCACAAAATATATCGGATACTTACGGTCTTCATCTTCAACCAACTCTATGGTGCGGAAGCCAATCTTTAATAGCTTATGGGATTCTGAGCGTGAGCTTAGTGTGTGAATATCTTTGCTGGTATAGCATTTTACTGAAAAAAGGACTGGATAAAGTTTTTGCTTTCCGTAGCCATTGGGCCACCACAAGATAACCCGATCCTAGAAAAGGTGTCAATTAGGCAATGTGTTCGAAGACTTATATATATTATGAGACGATTTTACTTTGGGTATGTGTATTTTAAATTCTAGCACTGGCGAATCAAAAGGAACCAATTGCTCATTAAGGACATATTGATCATCTAAAAGCTCGCTGAAAGTAAACCGAATTAGTCTTGTGCTTAAATCAAACGACTCTGTACGATTACTTGGCATAAACCACCAGTTGGGCATAAAAATCCTGTGATGTATGTGTGCTGAGGAAGGCGCGGCAATCCATCGACCAGTGAGAATCGTTTCGTTTAATGGCAACTTCAACATCGCGAAACACGGCTACTGCATAGTATTCGACTACCACTGGTTTCCATATGCCTAAGGAAAGTGCGGCTGGATTCCACTCGCCACCGAAACTCATTTGCATCTTGCGTAAGTGATTTCGATGGCACTCGACATCGCCGCGAGCCCGTGGGCAGCTAATCGGCCCGGTAACGACGCCCAAGTCTTCAAGTTCTCGAGCACGCTTACTTGCCTCCTGTAGGGGTGAAAGGATCTCAATCTCCAAGATGTTTTGGCTAGGGCTAGGCAAAAGCAAGTGGCCAATGGTGAAGGAATAGCGGACAAACATGTTGTCCGTCTCCCCAAGAAGCTCTCCATTAAAGTGTACCTTGGAAACCGTATCGATTCCGTGGAGCGTAAGATTTGCATGACTGTCGTGACCCAATTCATGGCCTGTGGATCGGGACCGGGATAAAAAGGCAATTAAAACGGTTAGGCTCACTGGTTTACCCACTGTTGAAGCTGGTGCTGTAAATCCACGATTGGTTGGCTATCCATTGCAAGGATACATCGTTTCCTGCTTCTAGCAAGTCTCCATAGGTATCCTTAAGCGCTGTGTACACTCCGCTTGGAAGGCGCGGCACGTCAATCCTTAGGGCTGATGGTAATGGTGCGATAGAACTCATACATCTTTATTTACTGGTAAATCACTGCTTCAATAGTGAGCTGTATTTATTGTCTATTAATTAGACGGGTATACAACTGCTATCAACACGTCAAGGTAGCGAAGCTGTTTTTGTCTTATCTTGCTACACATATTTCTGTAGAAACTCGGGCACAGCATAAAACGAGAGAGAACGCCATAGTTGAGTGCCGCGACTATTGGATACCTTTTACTCAGATAATGGAGTGCGAGAAATATGCAAGCAGCAATTAACTTTTAGCTAACTTTTAATAGGTTTCTATTAAGTCTGATTCTAACAGTCTTTGGAACGTAGATAAACATTGATAAGCTTAACAAAATATCATTTATGAATATGTTTAGCATATGGGCGTCAGACTCTACGAGTAATAAGAAGACTCTTCAGACAAGTTACCGGACACTTACAGGAGGTTTTATTTCTTAATGTCCATTTTGTAAGCTCTTCGACAAGAATGTTTTTCGCAAAGTTATTGTGGATAAGCAAAATAAACACAAAAGAGCTAAGTATTCCGACCATATTTAAAACCGTTTTGGACCATTAACATTTAAAATTAATTTACTGCTTTATGTTTATTTTATTGAAATCTTATCGACGGCTACGTCTTTTCGCTACACTGTTTGTTCCGAACGAACGATACCGCTCCCAAGTGATAACTGGCGATTGAAGTCTTTGTCGGACTCGAAGTAACAAGTCGACAAAATGTGATTGAAAGCTATCAATTAATATCGATAATACCTATCGAGTAAGAAAAAAGAGACGCCTGTTACATACTTTTCAAGGAATCTAGAATAACCTTTTACTGTACGTGTGACGGGTATATACACCGCTAAAACAGCGCAAAGTCATCACCCTCAATTACTTCTGTTTATGCGCATTTTAACGGGCAAATCATTTCCCGATTCATTGCTCTTTTATTACACTTTAATCACTAAATCCCCACTAATTTTTTTAAATAGTGAAATTTCCATCGCTTTTACATCACCATTTTATAAGCTTTTCATATCCCATTTTGTTAATGCATTCAACAATGAATCATAAAATTTATTTCATTATTAATTTTTTTTACTACTAAAAAAGCATTTTTTTCATTTGACTTATTATTAAAATTATGCATAGGATTTAAAAGTTAGTTACTAACCCATTTTCTTAATGCATTCAACAATGAATTATAAAACTTATTTCATCATTAATTTATTATTATTAAAAAAGTATTTTTTCGACTTATTATTTAAATTATGCATAGGATTTAAATGTAAGCATACAAATACATATATACTTTGGGTGTTTTCTGCGTATTTCTTCGTTTTGGTTGCGTTGGAGAATTGGACTAAATGTTTAATTAACTTCTAAAAAAATAGTAGTATAATGTATATAAAAATGTAAAAAAATGTACCTTAAATTATCCCTTATGTGAGTTGTATTTGTTGTTGCTTATAAAATAAATCCATTACCCGGAAAATACATAAAGTAAATTCAAAAATAATTAAACATTTAATTTAATTTAATTTAAAATAATTGACTTACCATTTTCTTCCAAACTGTGACTCAATAAAAACTGCGTCTGCTTCTTACAAAAATCAAATCGCAAGTGACTCCTAGAAAAAGGACGCGTGTCTTTAAGAAAAGAAATCCGTTTATCTACCTACATAATTTGTCTCTGCATGTCACAAACTTAAAGTTTCTTACGATGGTTACTCTTACCCAAAGATTTACTCTAATGTCTTTGGTTAGGCGCTCGCCGACTGAGAGCGACAACGTAGCATTTGCTTCGGAAATCATAATTTTTTCGCCAATATCGTTCGTGTTTTTCTAGGGTCTTAGAAATTGTGAGGAGGCTTTTAAATTTTAGCTAAATTTGTTAATAATATTTGTACATATTTCCTTAAAATTTTATTATGTGTTTTTTGTTTATTTTAATGAAAAGTCATTCGATTGTTTTCTTTTCGATTTAATTTCCCCAATGTAAAACTGGTATATAAGCATTTTTGAATTTTCATTTACATAACTAACAGGCAGTTGTAATTTAATCTTAATGGATTTATATTTTATCTTTATCTTGGAGATGTTTCCATAGAATTAAGAAACACTCTGCCTATATTTAGGACAAATCACGATAAAATTAAGAACTCAAGAAAGTTCATCGTAAAAGTAAGGAATATTCTGCTCACATTTTAGGGTACATTTTTCTAAAACTGGGGGCAAGTTGGTAATGGCTCCATTTTTAGGTATTTTTCCTGAATGAACATGCAAAAATTGTGTTTTGGGTAAGCATTTTTATGATTGTGATCAAAAATCAGAGTTCTATAGGGTTGGAAACATTCCCTATACCTACAAAAGTTTTTACCCTAATACCTATACAAATTAAAAAAAACCTTGCTTCTGAATATGTTTGTTAATTTACCAGCTCTCTCTACTTTGCTAGCAAGTTCATTATCAATTTATAACAATTAATATTTCTCTATGAATTACATTTCACCTTGGAAATACGCTTTTTATTTAGAATTGTTTGTCGGGTACAACTACCAGCCCCCTGACATTTTGAATGTTTCAGAGAACCCTTCGAGTGTATTGTCTAACGCCCTAATGCAGCCGATTACTCATCATACCTAATTCTTATAGGCATGCCCGCGAATTCAATTACTTTTAGGACAGCATCAAAGTTAGTTTAATCAATCAAGTCAATCACAAGTCAAGGCCCATAGGGCAAAGTTAATTTCTGTTTTTTCAACACCTCAAAGCACTCAATCCTTGACAGCCGCGGATACGGAATATTAAACAGGCGAGAAGGAGGCCCACAACCGCAATCGTATAAAAAGGAAGCGCCAACTTAGCTGTCTACCAGTCTGCTAAGAGCATAGTAAAGCATGGGACTTAGAAGATGTACGCACTTCGCCACGTTGGTTATGCCACTCTGGGCATTAGCCTTATTCTTCCTAGTGGTGATGCAGGTGCCGGCGCAGACGACTAGTCTTCAAATCTCAAAGGAGGATCGTCGACTACAGGAATTGGAGTCAAAAATGGGTGCGGAATCCGAGCAGCCCAATGCGAATTTAGTTGGACCATCAATCTCTCGATTCGGGGACAGGCGTAATCAAAAAACAATTAGCTTCGGTCGGAGAGTACCGCTTATTTCTCGGCCAATGATACCAATTGAATTGGATCTCCTCATGGATAATGATGACGAAAGAACTAAAGCTAAGCGGTTTGATGATTATGGTCACATGCGGTTTGGCAAAAGGGGAGGTGATGATCAGTTCGATGACTACGGACATATGCGCTTCGGCCGGTAAACACTTGCCATCATTTTAGTCATTTAGGAATCTGATTATGTATATTGCACATAGAAATTAATCAAACACACATTTTACATTAACAAGTATATAAAACGTAATAAATGTTCGCATTCCAAAATTGAATATTCCTAATCATAGGTGCACTTAGAGTTAACTGATTTGATAGATTTATTTAAAAACATAAGAGAATGCTATAGTCGGGTTCTCCGACTATCGGATACCCGTTACTCAACTGAGTTAGTGGAAACTTGAAAAATTTCTGGAATATCGGTAGGAATTGGGGAAATAAATAATAAAATGACAAAAGTAAAATATTTTTCAGAAGTTTGGGCGTGCCAGTTTTAGAGTAGAATGTGAGTAGAATGTTTTGACATTTTTTCATTTATTTATATGCCTTATAAATTTCAATCAACCGCACAAAATTCTCACTCTTAAATTTTTGGCAAATTTTAAATATTTTTCCTTATATTATATATTATTTTCTCCAATTTCTAACGATATTCCAGAAAATGTAAAAATGTTCAGTAGCTTGGGCACTATAGCATTCTCTCTTGCTTTTAATTCTTCATATACACTCTCCTGGTGCGCTTCGTCACTAAGTGGACTCCGCAGTGATGAGCACGAAAGCTTTGTTAAAAAGATTTCCATATGACACAGCTTTAAAAGTTTTCATAGAGACAGACAAACTTTTTCTGTACTTATCAAAATAACGTGGACAACTTACTTTGAATTAAATTACAACAATGTCGCTATTTCTAAAAATATTTATTTTGCTTTAAAGTATTAAACAAATGAATGCTGGAATTAAATTCTTATTTTCTGAAATGTGTATTCAGATGGTAATTTATTAACAGAGTAGTCGTTACTTTCTCTGAATCTGTTCATGTTTTAGATCTTAAGCTAAGTTTAAGATAATTTGTATGTTTTACCTTCCGGAAGTCTTTCCGCTGTAAATTCTCTAACTGAGCCTCAAGCTTTTGACCGCTCCTCCTCTTACCGGTTACATTACCCAGTTTTGCTAATCGGCTTTATAAATAATGCTGACCGGATTGTCCGCATTCCAAAGATTCAATCACACACACAGACTCTGCACATGGAGGCGATACCCAAACCAAGCCCAAAACTTGCAGCACCGGAGAAAAGTATCAACGAGTTTGTCAATAAAGTGTAGTCAGGCTACTACTACACCGCTAGGCAAACGCACACACTTGCAAAGAAGTAAGTCTACAGTTTACGTCGTAGCTTTCAGCCAAGTCGTGAGTGGAATTCAAGTCTAGTGAGTGTCGAGGGCTATGAAGTGAGCAAACTGCTCAGTCTCACAATAAGATAAGTCTATAGAGCTCTGTACTGTAGAGCTTTATTATTAGATTATATGGATTTATATGGTAATGTTAATTATATGGTAAGCCGCTCTAAAAAAAGTGAGCTTAGGCGAGGTGTTTAACGGTTTATGTAAATCTTATAGTAGCCATGACTTGCAAAATGATTTATACTGAACATCGTAATCTTAATACGGCAAAGTTATTTTGACCTCGAATTGATTAGCCGCCTGTTCAGGCCAGCCCTATTCTATAGGACTTATGGGCGACGAGAAACACAAATATTTTGTTAAACATTATAAAAAGCTCAATCCGGCTTTTCCCATATTTAGGCCCGGTTAAAAGCTTTGCTGGCTTACGTTTGGAGTACCACTGGCCAGACCCGAGACAGCCAGACTTCTTAAGCAGTCACATTGAACTCGCTGCTCATTCGTATGCTAATCAGTGCGATAGATTGTATTTGCACTCCCATCTAAGCTCGGCTGAATTTAGTTTTGTATGTGTGGCATGGGATATGTACGACTGCAAAAATACATCTTTGCCAAAACTGGGTATCTCTGTAGGTATTTTCCATGGAGGGTGAGTGACGTGAGGGTATAGCTGAACCGACTGATCGGAGCTGGCATGCTAATAGGTCTGAAAAGCCAGGTTGAGAGTGAGGAAAAATTAGCTTTTGGCTACGGCCGTACTCTGTTAATATGCTAACGTTTTATTGTAGGTATTTATTGTACATATTCGAAAGCATACAGGTAATTATACGATTTGGGATAAATGTCCGACTCGTCGGATACGTCAGGGATGCGTTTCCTTAGGCGAAAGAACGTTGTGACCGTTACATTGTTGGATAGGGTATTCATATCAATATATTCTACAGTACTATTTAATGGTTGATATATGGTATCTCGTGGATTTATGGTTACTAGCGAGCGCACACACTTTAAGTATAAACCTAATAAGGCACAAATATTCATTTATGTAGAGTTGGTTTCCGAGTGGGATTGCACTCCCAGAGCTCCGATAAAATATTCAGCCATTGTATTCTCAATCTGGTGTACATCAAGGATGGTTAGACGACTCCAATTGCCAAACGTTGCGTAATCTTTGTATAAATTATGGAGCGCAGATCAACCCAATCAACTCCTATCTTCGCGGCTTTCCGAAGCTGCTGGCAGGCCCCAGTGGGCCGTAGATGGCATGTGAATGCGGAGGATGGGCGTGAGGATGCTGACTGGGTCCCGGGCCATGTCCCCCGCCATTTGACATTGTCATGGCTTGCTTCCGCTGTAGTGTGTTCGGTCCCATGGGTCGCTCGCCATCAGTGAGGTCAAGACCTGCCAACATTTGGGCGATCTCACGCTCCTTCTTTATATCCGGCGGATTGAACTGCAGGCTGGCCAGCGATCCGTGGCTTCGGCTGCGATGCTCTTGACGTATGGAGTAGCTAAAGGCTCGCTCGTTTAGGTGTCCTTTGCGCTGCAAAAAATAATAAATAGACTATAATTAATGTTGAATCAGGCATGGTTTGCTTATCAAAAGCTAGCTAGAACACATTTACAAAAAAAAAGAGAGAATGCTATTGTCGAGTTCCCCGACTATCAGATACCCGTTACTCACGTATTTCAACATTCTGGAAATTGGGGAAAAACAAAAAGTGAAACATTTTTTAAAAGTATGGGCGTGTCAGTTTTTGGCTGTGGCAAAAAGTTTTTATGCAAATCGATAGAAATTTTAGAAATTAGAAATAATAGTTATCACCAAATAAAGAAGAGGAGAGTAAAAGCATATTTACATACTGCATGTATTTTCTGATCACATATGTAGGATTTCCTAATAGACAATAAAGTTAATATTTGCAAGCCTGATTGTACCACCCACCTTGTAGATGCCAGTGCCGCCTGGGGATGGCGATTCGGCACCAGAGTTACCGGAGTCGTCCAGACCGTTGCCCATTGATGCCGCCAGCTTCCGGCTGGAGTGGCCCAGCGGTCGCGTCTCTCCGATGAGAGACTGTACCAATTGGGAAGGTTGAACACCCATGGCCTGTTGCTGAAAGGCGTAGATGGGCGGTACAATAGGCATGCCCACGGGCACTCCTCCACCTCCGCCCGTGCCACTCTTTTTGTCCTTTTTTTTCTTCTTGCCGATTGAGCGCGACGGCTGAAGAGTCGCGTACTGTTGCGGCATCATCACGGGGATCTGCATGGGTGGTAGGCCCCCGATGTTGGGGTGGTGCATCAAATGGACCTGATGCTGTGAGGGGTGAGGTGGCGGGTGGTGGGAAAGGTGGCTGGGTGGACCCGGTGGAATGCCGCGATGACTAATTGTATGGTAACGGGCGGCTTGAGGGCCATGGCCAGAAACGTGCCCATATGTCATGCTGCCAGGTCCGGACGGCCCCTGGAATCCTGAGCGATGCAGCGGCGCAGGGTGTATGGGCTTTGGCCGGATCAGGGTGCCGGAGAGACTTTGGCTGCCGCTAGACTTGGTCGACTTTTTGTCCCGCTTTGTCTTTCGCTCTTCCTTCACCGGTGGCGGTGGCACGTCTATGGGCGTGCTGATTTGACGCGCCCGTAGAGGCCTTCCCAGGGTGGAGGTGTTTCCCGCAAACAGCTCATAGGGACTCTCTAATGGCCCGATGCTGTCCAACTGGTCCTGCGACCCATTCCACACCTTATGATTCTCGTCGCCGTTGTAAGACGCATCTCCGTCATCGACTGTGACGTTGAGGTCGGCGCTGCTATCGTAAACTGAAGAGAAAATGAAAAATGTAACAACATTCAGTTAGGAATTTAATTCAATTTAATTTACTTCAAAGCACAAAGATCTAAGGGGCACACTCTCAGCTCCCAAATGTGTTGTAAGGTTAACTGGATCCATGTTAGCCCGGGACACGCATTACCCGCACACATTATTTTAGTACGGCTTAGTTTTATTATTATTATTATTTTATTATTATTATTAAATTATTATTATTATTATTTAGGGCGACTTATCTATGAACGGTGTTCAGAATTCTTAATATCTATAGACAAAGCCTTGCTTTAATTAAAAATGTATCACCCATTCAATTCATATTTAAATGTTGCATACTCAAGCCTAGAAAAGCATAGTTCACTGTCAACTTAGTTGGCGATGAATAAAATGAATATCTTGCACCGGTTTACTTACACCTAAAATAGATACGAATGAAAAACTTCCATTCGCACACAAACATATGAATGGGAGTCGTCTTGGTAAGATTTCCTCACCTTCAAGGCTGTTGAATGCTGCCCGCTGTCGATTGATATCAACTTGTCTTACCTTTCGGGCTGACGAAAAAGGCAAAGTGCTGAGTCAGCGCAATCGAATATAAATTAGCCAAAACGCTTTCCATCGACTGAGCGGAGCTAATCCGCCTCATGTACAAAGTGGGCCAAGACCACAGACCAAGACCAAGACGTCAGAGGCATTCAAATGAACAGGTCGACTGGCATCTCCCGGGTTACTTGGCGCCTTGTCACCCGACACAAATCCAGACTTACGAACAGATACTCACACTGAAGCGCATTTAGGCCATGGAGGCAACGGTTTTGTAATAAATAACAGGAATTTAATAACCTGAGTGTAGCTACACCTGCAACTGTCCGGTCTCAGCGTAGCCGGCACCAGCTTAAACCTGAATCGAACCCGATCACCCCATTCGCTCTATACACTGACCATGTTGATGGCCCAGCCCAAGTTGGCTCAGTTTGACCAGCGACAACGCCGAGAGCCACTTTGCAAGTGTCTTTTGTGGCTCCACAACGTTTTCTGCGGCTTATTCCTCTAGGTCTTGCTTTTCTGTCTACCCAGGGGCTTTTGCTGGGCCCTGTTACCTCATAAGCTAGCAAGCGAAACCTGCTTGGCCTGGGACTATTGACCCCCAGACTCGGTGGCTCTGAAAACGAGAGCCCCCGCTTGGGAAGCGATCTTTTACGCTATAAAATTTGTAAATTAACAAGAAATCCTTCTGTGGAAAAACTGGTCATCTAGCCGGCATTAAATTGTTTTGCAAGAGAAATTCTCTTGTTGTCTACTGCATAGTTCCAAATCAATGTGTGCCTTTAGAAATATATTTTCATAAGAGTTGACGTTCGAAGGAGCAACTACATTGGTATTTCCAAGCTTTGGGAAGCTTATGTATTTATGGACCAGTGAGTTACCCATGGACCATAGTTAACTTGGCAGGAAGCTTTGCCCGGTAGTTTCGCCTTACCGTTTAGGAAATAGGCACAACTTTTACCGTTCGCGGAATGTAATTTGCGTAAATAACTGCGGAAATCCGACGAATTCCTAATTATTTAATTAAATCTTGCCTCTAATTTCATAAATCGAGCATGTTTGCTGAAGGTAAATTACTCTTCCACAGCGACTTTTTCCAATTAAACTTGGGCATATATCTGCATTGCAACAATCTTTCCCCGCTGCTGTTTGCTCGTCTTTCGCGGCTGCCATCTATTTGGACTTACATCATAATCGGTGGAAGCAGACCAAAAGTAAATTAGATACTCTCACTAGCTTTCCGAGAAACAGCGAGATGCGCATGCGTGCGTGAAAATATTTGAGGAAGGGAACAGGATAGGTTCGGCAGTTGATTGCCGTCTCAATAGGCTGCTCGATTCCAAATACCACGGGTTTTCGGCTTGCCAAATATCGGTACCGAATTCCTACAACTCTGTCGGAAGAGGAGTGTCAGAAAACGAGCTGGCAACAAGAACTTGGACCAGCATTTTCAAATGTTTTTCTCCTTTGTCTTTTATTACTGTTCGCGTGGTTCCACGAGAGAGAGAATGCTAGAGTCGAGTTCTCCGACTATCAGATACCCGTTACTCAGCTAGTGGAAGTGCGAACGAGGAATTTCAACATTTTCTGGAAAATCGGTAGTATTTGGGGTAAAAAAAGAATAATATGAAAAGAAATTTTTAAATTTTTAAAAGTGTGGGCGTGACAAGTTTGTGCGGCTTGTGGGCGTTAGAGTGGGCGTGGAAAAAAGATTTTCTACTCGTTAGAAATTTAGCAATCGGACGGACATGGCCAGATCAACTCGCCTATTGATCCTGACCAAGAATATATACTTTATATAGTCGGAAACGCTCCCTTCTACCTGTTACATACTTTTTAACGAATCTAGTATGCCCTTTTACTCTACGAGTAACGGGTCTAACCTGTCCACTGCAGTTTTCTTGCAGTTTTCCGACTCTGTCTCTTCAAAGTTGGGGTTCCTACGATGGAGGGACGCATGTGCAGCTGCTAGCGGCATCTAGGTCAACTACGCCAGATGGGAATTTCGGAACAGTGACCAATACAACAGCAGCGACCATACCCTGATCAAATGATTTAGGTAGACTTGCAAAAACGGTCCAGTGAAGAGAGAAGTATTTTTGAGACGGTGGATTGGCTGACTTTTCTTCAAAATTTTATTTATTTTGGAAATACAAATCTTTCATTAGTGAGCTATTACACGACTATGTATGAAATACATTTGCTCGATAACTAAAAACAGACAACACTATAGTCGCTTTACTCAACTTGTGGGAGTGAAAATGAGAAATAATCGATAGAAATTGGGAAACCCTATACAAAAAATATTTTTAATTGTCTCAAAGTTGTGGGCGTGTCAGTATTGGTGGGTTTGTGGGCAATAGAAGGGACGTGGCCAAAATGTTATTAAAATAACGATAGCAATTGGCAAGACAAATAATAAAACGAAAATATTCAAACATTTTTTTAAAGTGTGGGATTGTGCGGTTTGTGAGTGTTAAAGTGGGCGTGGCAAAATGTTCTTTAGCGAATCGATAGAAATTTACAAGATTTATAAAAACGTGAAATTATCACATTTTTTAAAAGTGTGTTTCAAACTAACAAAAAAATGAAACAAGTTCAAAACCTTTTTCAAAGTAAAAGCGTGGCAGCTTTGGGCGTTAGAGGAGGCGTGGTAACATCATTTAACAAACTTGCGCTGCATATATGTCTCTGGAAGCTGCGTGCTTAATCTTAACATTCTAGCTTTTGTAGTTCCTGAGATAGAGGCGTTCATATATAATATATATATATTTCTGGTCGGAAACGCTTCCTTCTGCCTTCTACATACTTCTCAACGAATCTAGTATATCCTTTTATTCTGCGAGTAACGGGTATAAAAATGAAATATTTTCTGTATAATGATCGCTAGCCGTCTGTTCGTTCTTTCGTCTGTCTATCTGCCTTTTTTGTCGTCGAGATCACTGGAACTATAACATTTAGAAAGTTAAGACTTAACATGCAGACGTTTGTTTCAGAACGTTACCATGCCCAAAGGCCGCCTAGGACTGACACGCCCACACTTTTGAAAAGTGTTGGCTTTTTCCGAAATTATTATCGACCAAATTGTGTAAAGCTTCCATTAAAGGTAGTTTCCACAATTAAAGTACTAAATTACAGTACTAAAGTACTGTACTTCTTCGGTAAAATAAAAAAGTGGTATTACTTCGCTTTAAAATAATGTTTTGTAGCAGACATAAAAAAAACGACAAAAATTTACAATTTGCAAGATTCCCCAAGATCTTGTTAGGCAATATATTTTAAAAGAAGCATCGGATTTTACAAATGGTGTCAATCAATGAGTATTTTAACAAGAATTGTTTGCTGTGGATGATGTAGTTTCCAACATTTGCATACGCCCTAATTTTTTAAGTTTTTGGTTGGTAAATACCCCGTTAGCATTGGAAAACCGCTGAAGGTTTCTTTGTCTATATAAAGAAGCAGACTTCGCATACTTTCCTAGTGCGCTTCGTCACTATGTGGACTCTGTGAGTCTTGAAACAGTCAAGACCTGTTTGGTCGGAACAATAAGTAGGTCACACATGAAATGCCTGAAATACTGAAATAAGTGTGAAATCTTACCGATACGCCGGCAGCTCGAACTTTTTCAAGAGCTTTGCGATCGGTTCTGATATTACAATTACTCCATCGAAATGTGGTTTCCAACTCGCAAAAATGCTGTCGTGCGGTTGCTACATGCTACGTAGTCATTCAACTACGACTGGATTTTGGTAATGTGTCCCGTCTTTGTTTCTACATCTTGCTTTTTCGTGCACCCAATGCAGTCAGCTTATTTGCATAGCTGCAACAGGTTGAAATATATCAACTCCAAATGAAACGATTATCGTAATATGCTCTTAAAGTTGTTTCTGCCTTTACCGAAACCGGTCTGAGGAGATCAAAATTGCTATCGCGATGCTACGAGAATTCTGTAATTTTCGAAAGACCACGCTGACGGAAATTTGTGCAGATCTTGTATATTTGATAGTTTTCCCGCAAAACTACGATTTTTAAAACTTGTACAATAATTTCATACAGAACGACAGGCAGACAGGAAAGGACAGAACTCTTTCATTTCATAAAGGCCGTTCAATTTTTCACCAAGAGCTCCAATTTTCAAAATGTTTATTTTCGCTCCCATTTCTCCAAAATCAATTCTTAGAATGAGGTATAGAAAGCATGGTATTTTACTATTAAATAATAATATTATGATCGAAGCAGATTTTCAATTTTACAATATATAATAATATATAATAACAGTATCCACAGTGATTATATAATGTAGATATCAAAATATCTACTGGACTGAAATCTATAAAGAAAGGAATTGAAAATATCAAGCGGTATGCCTACAATAGTCAAGACAAATGTTCTTAACATGTTTTGTTTTTTTTTTTCGATTCTCAATGAATTTTCATTTATAATTTTTCTAAGTGTTAAACATCTATATTCTGTCGTTATTAAAAAAATAGGCGCTATTTTAACAAAAGCCCCAATAACGAAAATATATACAGCCGGTGGAATACTAAAAATGTTAATGAATAGAAAGTTCTCACAGACACGCTGTCAAGCGAAGATGAGCTTGTTCAGCAACAGATTTCATCACAATCTCGACAGAGTTTTACAGCAGCACTCTCACACTGGGTCGATCCTCTCTGATACCCTCTCACTTGTTGAGGCTCACACTTCCCTACCGACTTACCGACTTTCCACTGGATCGGCTTGCGGAATATAAAATCTTCTCACGCGTTCATCTCGACTTATTCACTCTCTGAAGTCCCTTGCATGTGTATAATGAATGTACGGTCCCGAACCAACCGGCCCAGCTTTCTCAGTCCGACCCTACACCGTTTTAAGTTTTGTTGGTGCCTGAACAGAACAGTGGGAAAAGATCGCAGCCGACTGGCACAAAAGCGGATGTGCCGGGGTCCAAAGGCCAGGAACAAGCACGCAGTGATAGTTTAGATTTAAGAAGCCTATTAATCGCAGACGACTAACTGCAAGTCGCTTGTTTCGGTTTTGATGAAGTAACTGCTTTGTCAATTACCAAATATGGTAATATGGTATATATGGTATTGCTTGTAATAAGCATAAATTCGGGTACACAGTCAAGAGGTAGCCGAGTTAAATTTACGTTTAAAATAATATACGAGTATGTAGCTATAGCTGAATATGATATATTTGACCGGTATTTCATTATTATTACTCGCATTCGTATCCGGCGTTATCTAGACTAAGCTTTTTAAGAAAAATTTACATATCAGTAGTACTGATTTAATATGTACAGCGTTTAACTTTTAAATGTGGCAATAGCCAGCAGGTTAATCTGAGTCGAAAGTCAAATTTCAATGCTGCGCTAGAGATCGCACAATTTAGAATGTTCGGAAGCAAAGTGCCGCTTTCTTTCTTCTTATTCAGCAATTTGCATGGTAATTATCACAACCGCACTACAACCGATGGTTGGAGAAACAGCCAAGTTGTGCCATGGCTAAGCCTTAGCGTCGTCAGTCTGTCAACTGGTCACAATAGACAAAATTGAAATGAGTGGAAAGTGTTCGGTAGACTGCGGACAGTAGACAGTAAAAAGTTTTCTTTTTCCTATAGATAAGAAACTCCGTTTCAACCCCGCCGTTTTATTTCGATCGCGGAATTGCCTTTAGACTTCTGTCTTGTTGGCTATTTCCGAATAAACTTATGTCCACTTTTTACAAGTATTTTACAATCTTCAAAAATCCGACAGAAAAATTAAATACTTTTTCATATCAGACAAGGGAAAACGATATATTCGAGTTCCTCAACTATTAGATCCATACATTCATATACTCATATGAGGGAAAATTTTAAAATTATCTTGACACATCGGTAAAAATTGGTATTTTATTTTTCATATCGATTAAAATTTGCAAGTTTTATAAAAAGATGAAAAAATCACAGAAAATGTTAAAAAGTGTGGGCAGTTAGAGTGATCGTGGCCAACAAGTTTTTTGCATATCTACAGGAATTGGAAAAACAAATGATTAATTGGCAAATAACAAACTTGCGCAGCATAGACGTCAGTAGAATCTGCATGTCTAATCGTACCTAATATACCTCTAATACTACATCGCTTTTCCAGTTCCCGAGCTCTCGACGTTTATACGAACTCTTGATCAAGAATATACAATATACTCTATATGGTCAAAAGCGTTTTTTGGCAAACTTATGGTTATTTCCAAAATATAAAAAAAAATAAAAAAATATCACAACATTTTTCAAAAGTGTGGGCGTGAAGTTTTGTGCGGTTTGTGGGCGTGTCAAAATTTTGTTTGGCAAATTTATAGAACTTAACAATATATATAAAAAAATATCACATTTTTCAAAAGTGTAGGCGTGACAGTTTTGTGGGCGTTAGAGTGGGCGTGGCAATATTCGGAAACAAACTTGCGCTGCGGTGAAGTCTCTGGAAGCTGAGTGCTTAATCTCAACATTCTAGCTTTTGCAGTTTCTAAGATCGAGGCGTTCATACGGACAGACGGACGGACTCGGCTATTGATCCTGATCAATAATACTTTATATGGGCGGAAAAGTTTCCTTCTGCCTGTTCCATACTTTTTAACGAATCTAGAATATAATATGAAGCAAAAGTACTCACAGTTCTTGACGGATGTATAGCCCTCTGCCGCACTGCCGGTGCTACCCCCATTCATGCCTATCGCTGATCCATTGGCGTGGCCATTCGAAGCGCGGCCCAAACTATTAAGCGTCGTGGTGCTGCCCGCCCGCGATCTCCACCCAGCTTGGGCGGAAAGGGCCAGATGGTGGTTGCTGCCTCCGTTTCCGACTCCGTTAGCCAGGCCGACGCTGGTCAGGTCGGCACTGGACTTGCTCACTGCACCGCTTTTTAAGGTGCCGTAGACGCTACCGCCGCCGCCCGTCTCCAACTGGCGGGCGTACGAGTTGTCGGCGTAGGCGTGGAAGCAGCACCTGACTAGCGCATTCGCGGCCGCCTCTCGCTTACAGATGAAAACGTGGCACTCAAGCACCTTGATGCCGCTGGTGCGCCGCAGGATGGCAGCAAAGATGGGTGGGTGCTGTGCGCGCGGCATCCGCGCGAAAGGCGAGTCTAGAGGCAAGAACTTTGGTTCCGGGTGGGCGTTTCCGCGCTCTGGGATGAGCACCTGGCGCACGGCGGCGCAGTAGTGCAGCGACTCGATCGGGAAGAAGCGCGTGATTTGCTTGAGGTTTTCGTCCACGTTCTCCAGCAGGATGCCGTTGGACCAGACGCTCAGCCAGCTGTCGATGCCCTTGGCGCCCACCGCTCCTTCCGAAGGATAGAGGCTACGCAGCGGCTCCTGGATGCCCTGCAGCCCATCCTTGCTCTGTCTGGGCACGGCACTGCCCAAATAAAGTACTCGGCATCGGCAAATGGGCGTGGAGTCGCCCATTACAGCTACGTAATGTACCTACAAACACGTAAAGCTGAAGCTGTTGGTTTTGGGCTTGGTGTATCGTTCCAGTCGAGAGCGCGATGGAAAGAGAGGAAAGGCACTGCACAGAGAGCAGGTCGAAAAATGTGGATTTTCTGGTTTCGCTTTGTGTGCTGGCCACGTTCGTGTCGTATGCGCAGGTATTTCTGCGACTGTAGCTGTGTTTGTGCTCAGGTACCGCTCTAAGGCCAACGCCAGAGAACTTTTTCGCTTAGGTAAGCGGATATTTTGCGCCGCGCACTCAGAGCCACTGGCTCACACCAGGGCTTCCGTTCTCAATCGGGTTCACACAAACACGGGCACACACGCACACACACACGTCCATAGCGGGGTGACAGTATACGCACATACAACGTCACTGGAAAACTGCATCAATCAATAATTATTAGCAAATCTTGTTCGAATTTTCACAATCGAACCAAGATTACGAGGGGCAGGCACTTCATTAGCAACTGGCAAAGCTTGCCCTCACACTCGCACACTTGCACACTCGCTGAAAAACACACACACAAGCAAACGCTTGGAAAACAAATATGGCGTCGTGGGGTTCTGGTCGCGGAACTCCCTTCACTCTATCACTGTGCGCACGCGCTGCGGAGCTCTATACCCCTTCCGGAGAATGCAGCTGGGTTGCTCCGTGTCCCCTGGTTGAACTGACGATGGCCACCGTGGTCGTCTCACTGGCGCCCGCTACGAATTCAGGCTTGTCTACGCGACGACGTCTTTCTGGAAAATGAATCTGGCCAACAGCGTCTGAGCGATGTCTACTTGGTGTTCGCTCGCGACAAAAGAGCCGTCGGCTCGATCGGATAGACGCTCTCTGCTCACTCACCTGCGTACCTGTTATCGCTCTCTGCTCGACAGTCTTAAGGCAGGTACGACTATAATGTTGCCTCGAACCGCTTGGCGACGCAGCTCGGTGCTGAAGTGGAATGCATATTCTACCACCAGATCAGCGGAATGGGCCAGTGGTAATCCACTCAAAGGTCCAAATGTTATTTGCCCGGTCTATGAAAATTCCTCACTCCCTATGTTTATAGGGCTTAAGCATACTTACAGGTAAAAATACTCTTCTAAAATTGTTAAAGCAGAGAATTAGCATGCCCTTTTTGTACTCTGTTGAACTTAACCAAAAGTTTTGAAAGCAGGGAAGGGAAAATTTCCGAATTAAAATTAAACCAAAAGACTTCATAAAATAATAGAAGAATGTTGGATCGGAAATTTATCATAGAAAATATCAAGATTCGCCGTTTCTCAACCCATATTTTTAAAAATACTATACTATACTATTTACATATATAACTAACACTAAAGTCGATTTCCCTGACTATCATATACTCGTTACTCAGCTAGTGTAGGTGCGAACGAGAAATTTCAAAATTTTCTGGAACATTGATAGAAATTGGAAAAAAAAATAATAAAATTGAAACAAATAAAATGTTTCAAAAGTGTGGTCGTGAGAGTTATGGCGGTTGTGGGAGCTATGGCGGTTGTGGGGGTTGTGGGGGTTATGTCGGTTGTGGGGGTTATGGCGGTTGTGGGCGTTAGAGAAGACGTATCGATAGAAATTGAAAAGACAAATAATAAAGTTAACAGATTTCAACACATTTTTCAAAACTGAGGGCGTGGCAGTCTTGGGAGTTACAGTGAAAGTGGCAAAAAATAATTTGGCACACCGATAGAAATTTGAAAAACAAATAAAAAAAAGAAAAATTAAAAAAAATGATCAAAAATGTGAAGTTCTGAAACAAATTTGAGTAACCTAGGCTTCACTAGAGTCTACATGTCTTAACTTACTAGCTTTTATAGTTTCGGAGATCTCGACGTTCATCAGACGGACACGGCCAGATCGACTTGGCTATTGATTAACGATATATACTTTATAGGGTCGAAAAGCTTCCTTCTACCTGTTAAATACTTTTCAACTAATCCTTTTACTCTACTAGCAACGGTTATAAAAATAGTTATATACTTTTTAATTTATTATACTTTATTACAATTAACCATTACTCTGCTCTGCTGATCACGAAGTTTCTAGATGATCTTCAATATTTAAGTCACAATAAATCTACGTGTAAATTAAATATAAATTTAAATATAAATAAATTATATTAAATTATGTATATGTGTGTTAAAATATGTCACAAACAGTATGACATAATTGAATTGAAAATAATTACATATATAAGTAAATACATAGTTTATAGAGATACATATTTACAGAGATACATAATACAGATACAGATTTATAGAGATACATAATTGTCATGCCATACGAACGGAAAGAAGACAGATCTTCACTGACATAGCTAGTGATCGTTATATTTACATACTTTCTTTTATATTAAAGGTATTGAACCTCTTTAAAACTACAACCAAGCTTAAAATAGTACATATAATTATTTAGTTGAATGTAAAATTCTTCATTCGACATAATTGTCATAAGACCATTAGCTTTCACTGTTAATTTACATAAGGTTTTGTTGATGTAGTTCGTAAAAGATAGGTCGTAAAATTAAATCAAATCAAATACAATTTCTTAAAGTATAAAGAATATATATATAAATAAAAATTTCAAACGCTTTCAGCTTCTAAGCGTCTTAGAATATAGTTTTCGTTACATTAAATCATTACATTATATATATTATATATAATAATAATATTATAATAATATTAATAATAATAATAATAATAATAATAATAATAATAATAATAATAATAATAATAATAATAATAATAATAATAATAATAATAATAATAATAATAATAATAATAATAATAATAATAATAATAATAATAATAATAATAATAATAATAATAATAATAATAATAATAATAATAATAATAATAATAATAATAATAATAATAATAATAATAATATAATAATAATAATAATAATAATAATAATAATAAGTCTAAGCATGACCATATATTGTGCTTGTTCTATCTGAGAAAGATAGTTATTTGATATTTTGAACGACTCTTTTTACATTTTTGGAAGCAAAACAGAAAGTAGTAGAGGTAGTGTCTGGTATCATAGTCTCAGTATTGAGATTAAGCACGCAACGCAAGATTGTTTCCTGATGTTTTCAATTATAAATTTAATTTTGTTACCAATTTTTTTTGATATGGGTATACATAAATTATGTTTTTCGTTTTTATACACGTAGTTTGTAGAATAAAAGGATTCGTTAAATCCTATGTAAAAATAGATTCGTTGTTATATACTTAACAGGCAGAAGTATATGTTTCCGACCATATAAAGTAGATATACTCTCTATCAGGATCAATAGCCAAGTTGATCTGGTAATGTCCGTCTCGATCTCAGGAACTACCATTACTATTAAACACGCAGCTTTCAGAGACTTGCCACGTTCACTATAACGCCCACAAACTGCACAAAACTTTCACGCCCACACTTTAAAAAAATGTTATTTTTCATTTTATTATCTATGTTATTCTATCTTGTCTTTTTATATTACAGTCGAGATTTATTGGTCTTATTAGTAAGGTCGGCAAGTTTAAAACTGATTTTACAAACAGTGACTGCGACGAAAGCAGCTAAAGGAGATTTTAATGAGATGATTTCGATTGGTCAAAGTGTCCTAATGAATTGGTTGGTTTCCACATAGCATCTTTTGTTTAATCAATTTGGATTGGTCGGATCTCTGATGATGACGAATGGGTTCACATTCTTGACCCTTTGTTTAAGAGTTTGATAATTGTTTATGTATGCGATCGACATAAGTGGTATGTTGAATGTTTATAATTAGGCTGCCGTCAAGCGAGAGAGTTGGAAAGATTTATGTCGTTTAAGAAGTTTTTAACTTTTATCTCGAATTAATTTGAATAATCTTGACTTATGTTATTGACAAATGGAAAAAAGGTATCTAAAAAAACAGGTATTGTATGTTTTTGTGGAACATTTCGCAATGTGTTTCATTTAAGCTATACAAGTATGTGATGTATTATACAGATTCATTTACTGATACAAATGTGTGTTGGATTTTCGCTAATTGAATAGTAGGGATTTTACTGATACAATTATAAGTGATTATGCATTATTGGTTTAATATGTTTACTAATGAATTTGGCAAGTTTTTTCCATATAAAATATGTTTTATAAAATTTTTGATTTATTTATAGTTCAGAAATCAACAACTGGTTTTCGAATTTATTACAATTAATACTAATTTGTTATATTTTTAATATTTTTGACCATGTCACTATGGTAATCAAATTTAGAATCCGAGTCAGAATTTTCAGTTTCCCTCAAATAACGACAGAGATGTTTAATTTTAGATTTTCTAAATTTATGTATGTGTTTTACAACGCTATGATTCCTATTCGTTTCTTGCAGGTGCTTTTATTTCCTAATTCTTGTTTTTTTTTTTTTTTTCTAAATCTCCTGTTTTCTTAAAAGCATATACTAACTGAGCTGTACGATTAATTTCTCTTTCAACCTTAGTATGTTCAAGATTTACTTAAGATTCTTCTCGGTTGTTACTATTTTTATTTATCATGCACTCTTTTTGTTTTTGCTTATTTTTGTAACTGTAACTGTTACTTTTGTTACTCAGTAACTGTTTTATGGACCCTTTCTATATCGGCTATATAATTTTTGCCATTAAAATTTTTTAGAAGGACTTCTTTACTTTCAATCCATTATTGTTTCAATAATGGAAATAAACTTTAATTAAGTGTCGATGCATGTTAAAAATGTACGTTGGTCAATAAAATAATAGTTAATAAAATATTTATAGCAAATATTTTATGCTTCCGGAAATTTAACAACTGAAGAGCAACTCTTCTATGTTCTGTTTTGCACAAATTACAAACTTCACATTTGTTGTTAATATTTTTAATAAGTTTATATGCGCCCGGGAAATTGTATTTTGCTTTTTAATACCTTGATCTATCTTTTCTATATATCTATTTTTTCGTGTAATTATTTTTTTTGTTCTTGGAAGTCCGCATATTTCGGCAAGCTTGGGAGTATTCCACAAGTTTTCATTAATTTCGTTCCTGTATTTGGTTTTAATAATTCGGTATAGACACGTTGAAAAATTGCGAAGTGTGCGTCATTATTAAAAAAGTGGCTTTTGATCAGCGCATATGTCAAAACTTCTTCCGAAGAGTTCTACAAAACAAAAGAACAGAAAACATAGAAGAAAACCGATTTACATTAAAAGCCACATAGGCCAAAATATGATTTAATTTTTTTTATTTATCTGTCAATTAAGATTTGATCTACGAAGACGTTCGAAGAGTTTTTTTTAATAGATTACACTCTTGTAAAGATGTTTATATAACAATATCGCCTTAATATACTAAATAATGGGTACCTTCATATAACGTTGATGTTTTTAAGACCAAAGGTATCCTAGTATATTCATAATGTCCCTCGTTAGTACAGATAAGTTTTTTAATATAGTCTGTGTCCATTTCATTTTGATGGAACCCTTCAGTCAGATCTATTGTTGTAAAAAAACATTTTGTTAACTTGTCTTATATTTCGTATATCATTGGAATGGGAAATTTATCATTAATAGTGTAAATTTAGGGATTACTTTATGGTCTGATATTAATTGGTTCTTTGTATTTTGTTTTTATAACGTGTTTGAATTCGATTTCATTCGTAAAAGTCAAATTTTCACCGTCATGATCCTAAATATTTCGCTACCCATTAGCTCAGTTTTTATACCCGTTACTTGTTGAGTAAAGGGTATACTAGACTAAGAAGTATGTAACAGGCAGAAGGAAGCGTTTCCGACTATATATAGTATATATTTTCTTGATCAGGATCAATAGCCGAGTCGAACTGGCGAAGAACTGTCCACGCCCACGCCCACAGCCCACAAATTTCATAT